CCTGTGTTGGTCCGACTGCACTTTGCACTCACGCCTCTTTGCTGAGTGGTGGTGATGAGTGATGGTCCTCACGATGTGTTGAGTGATGGGTATTGTATCAGTGGTTTTCTGGGTCACATCCTGTCTCCTTCCCCCCCCCCCCCCCTCTCTCTCTCTCTTCCCTAGTGGGGCAGCCCCCGTGCCCCGCCCCCACCCCAACCCCTGTCATGTTCGCCACTCCGTCCCCCCACTAACACCAAGGCCCCCACCCACTAACGCCCAGACCCCCCAACCCACTAACGCCCAGACCCCCCCCCCCCCCCCCACTAACGCCCAGTCCTCCCTTACTGCATGGTGCAGCACTCCGGTATCCACCAGAGAAAACGCTTAGCCAGTATGACTATTAAAGAATACGAAAGGGATATAGGTGGAGGAGCTGGGGGGTATAAGGAGTGCTTAAGGCCTTCTGGACCCTCGGGGATCAAACACTGACCGTACAAGAAGCGAGGCCGTCGCTGTATCAGACCATACACCAAGTGGATGGGACAAAACACTTCACAAAATAAAATAAAAGTGTTGAGTGATGCGCACGCATGCTGCAAGTTGACGGACGACGCGTCTATTCTTCCACCCCCCCCCCCTCGTCCTTCTATCCCAGCTCCTCTCTTGTCCATGTACTGCACAACTGAGGATCCCGGGTTTGATCTCCGGCCGGGAGATTCATGGCCCGCCCCGGAGGTTTGATCTCCAGGGCGGGTCACGTTGCTTTTCACTTGATTCCACGATTAATTGATTGATTGATTGATGAAGATTAAGCCACCCCAGAGGTGGCACGGGCAGGAATAGCCCGTAAGTGGTAGATTTATTTGGTGGTGTATGTATACTGTGTGCTGAGGTCGCACTTAAATCGTCAGGCTGCTATCGCTGGAAAGAGAGCTAGGGGGGTACTGCTTGACAGTATTTATGAGGGTGTCCAGCTCCTAGACACAACGGGAGACATCTCCCGTCACGCAGGGTGCAGTCGCACCTCCACAGATCTCCAGTATCAGCTCTTGATACTGGTAATGGCTCAAAAGAGCCACCACTTACGGGCTAATCATGCCCGTGCCACCTTTTTTAGGTGGCTTAATCTTCATCAATCAATCTGCTGGACACCTTTTTGACCAGAAGAGTGGCAGTGTTGATGGCTTCAGGGTGGTTACTGCAAGATTCAGGGACTCTTAAAGCTCTAATAATGTCGTTGGTTGCTTCACATTCCAGGAGATGGTGAAGTAGTGTTTTTTTTATTGTTTGGCAGAAGATGCATTCCCACTCTCTGGGTTCACCCATTTCCCAGTTGCATCTGTAACCTAGACGTAGTCTATATAACCGAACTGCTATTTCCCTGTGGATTCCTTTCGGCATATTTAACCTGTCTAACTTGGTGGCCTGAAGATACCATAGTGCAGAGGGCGAATCTTCTGCTACTCTCTGATGTAGACGGGCTTTGTTGATGTGAGTTTTTTGGTGATGGTGTTTTTTATGTAGTCTAGGTTGGGTTGGATTGTTTTGGGGATCACTGGATGACGAGTTGGCAATTTAGCAGTTTACCTTGAGGTTACCGTGTGATGACTTCGGGGCTTAGCCCGCGGCCTGGTCGAGGACCAGGCCGCTAAGCCCCGAAATCTTCACAAGGTAAGGTATGATTGCATTTTGAATGTTCTGTGCAATCACATTTGCGTATGCCTGTTATATGGCAAACAGTTCAGTTTGGGTTGATGATACTGGTCCTCCCAGTCTCCAATATGCCTGTTCGTTGTCCGTACAAAGAGCAGCGAACTGTTATGATTCCACTGTTCATCTAGCAATAAGACACCTACGAGTGAGACATCGTGTTTCCTGCAGCTTGTCGGTCGCATCCCGAAGGCGGCCATCAGTAGTAGGCGTGAGGGTGAGACCCCTGTAAGCCCAGCAGGCCTCCTATTCATAACCTGACACTGTGGGAAATCATAAGGTGAATCATATTCTGACGATCTCTCTCGTTGTCTCACCATTTACAAATTGTACCATTTCTGCAGGCGATGAGTCACAATAACGTGGCTAAAGTAAGTTGACCAGACCACACACTAGAAGGTGAAGGGACGACGACGTTTCGGTCCGTCCTGGACGATTCTCAAGTCGATATTGTACCATTTCTGTTTCTTTTTTTTCTTCTCATATATTTGACATTCATGGTTGGTTCCCCGCCCTCCCGGACCCTCTGTACCTCCTCCTCCCCTGTCGTCATAAACTTCCTGACGTTTATGGTTAATAATGTGCATCCATAGAGACTCTAAAGTGTTTTAAATCACCCACTATAATTACCCCTCGTTAAGGTGTAATGTCGGCGACCGGGGGGTAGTATCTTGTTGATTTATACCCGTGGGCCTACACCCCATTACCGCCAGGGCCTCGCCACGCGCTGAAGGCAGATAACCGCCACCATCATCAATTTCAAATTCAAAATTCAAAATTCAAATGTTTATTCAGGTAAAATACATACATACAAGGTGTGATACAAACATTGTTAGATTTATAGATAGAGCTAGTACATACAATGCCTAAAGCCACAATTACGCGGAGAGTTTTCGCGCGTTTTTTAATTTCTCTAAAGTTAGGCTGCGCCACCTTTCAATTTTTTAGATGCTAAGAAAAGCAGTGTTTCTAAAACAGACTTAATATTATGGCTACGGAAATGTTTAAATATTTTAAATTGAAACTACGGATAGTTTAAATTGAAACACACACACGCCGGGAGGTCTGTGGGACGTGAGGTGGGGAAGTATGCGCCATGTTCCCTGACACCCGGCAATATTTCCCGCCATCTCCCTACAATTTCTTCCCGTATGGTCACGATCTCTCCGGCTCTCACGGCAGGTTTCTTAAACCTTCCTCCTGAACACTACGTTTTGGTTTGTAATGTCTCTTACAGCCTTCAGTCTTCCTCGGGAACGAAATCCTTTCCATTTTCTCTCTCTCTCTAAATGTTTAAAGGTAATATGCGATAAATTATATTTCCATTAAATTGTGATATGTTATATGTAAGCTCCTTTTGTGAGAGTTATTTTTATTATTATTGTAAGTTATTATTATTATTATTATTATTATTATTATTATTATTATTATTATTATTATTATTATTATTATTAAGTTTTTTTGTGTGGAGAAAACTATTTTCTTTGAGGCGGAGGGCGTCAGACAGCGCCTTACTGACGTTTACTTAAGGGCCAATATTGCTCTTGGGTTTTGTTTAATTAAACAATTGTTTGGTTAGTTAACTTCATTTATTATTCACCCCATACCCATCTTGAGGGCGGTAGTGGAAAGGGTTAAAGAGGCACATAATGGGCTCAGGGACTGAACCCCACAATTTATTTAGCTAAGCAAGTTACAATCTTGATGAGCTAGTTACAAAATTCAGTATAAGTCGTCACATCAACAATGGGTTCGAGATCGATCACAAGTACAGTTTCCAAATTAAGCAACTGAAATGTGGAGAGCTAGTGTCACAATTGATATGTTTTTGTCCACCACACCGCCCCCCATCCAGTGGGCAGCGGTGGATAGGTTACAATCACTCTTAGTTACTACCTACAGTTAGCAAACTGGGATATTTGTAGGATAAACCCCCACACTTGTATATTTGTGAAATTTATGTAAGGAATTTACACATTGGTTATAGAATTGTCTCTGAATTCACGTATCTTTTCGCACTCCATCACATAGTGACGGAGGGTGTGCGAATAATTTTGTTGACACAGTTTACATTACAATTGTTTATATATCGTAAAACACACAGCGACCTTTTCATTTGAGAAATCTTATCAAAATGAAGTTTTAATTTTTCTTTTTCCTAAACATATAATGAATATACAATTAAGTCTAATTGTGCCTAATGAGGCTTAATTATAGTTCAGGTTACGAGTGAATTTATATAAATAAATTATTATTATTAGTAGTAGTAGTAATAGTAATGTCTTCTCACAGACATAATGACATAGGATAAACCCCCACACTTGTATATTTGTGAAATTTATGTAAGGAATTTACACTAAGTCTTTCGCACTCTCCTGAGTGCTTGCTCAAGGTCTGAGTGTGTGATTAGGACGAGACTTACACCTCAACGTCTTACCTACGATAATATCTTCTACAGAAATATGGTCAGGTGTCCTCTATATAATCCTGTTATTCTGGGAACAAGAGGTATTATTAATAGAGGTGTTCATTTGGATACTGTCCCTCGTAATTCCATCCATACCGGTAAGGAACGCAGTTAATGGGACTGCTTTCATTCATCCATATATTGAGATCTAATTTTAATTCACTCATGATCATTTTCCTAGTAAAGTTATCCTCCGAAGCGAATTGAAGACCATAAGAGAGCTTGTAGAAGTATGGCTGGTAACAGGGCTGTTGCAAACCATAGTTGGTAAAAGGATCACAATATTGATTCTTAGTATAAATGCGAAATAATTTGCAAAAGTAATAATATTAGAACTAGAAGGGTAGTGGAAGGGGGGCTCTAATAAATACTCTGAATACTTTCGCTGGCAACAAACACTGTACCCACTTGTATAAAAGAAAAATCCTTAGTTTGCATTAGTATGTGGTTATCAGTAACATTTTCTGTGTTGGCTGGAGAAGATGGTGTATGCTGGGGGGACTGTGGAGGAAGTTCTGTTAGGTGGCTTCATTTGTGTATAACTTCTAGTTTGTTGAAAATAAAGTTGGAGAAACAGTAATTGGAGATGTGGTTTACAGCCCCATACACATTACTTCCTCCTTCACTGTTGTCATTGTGCCTGCAGTGGATGGTCTGCGAAATATATATATAAAAAGCATCCCGAGTTGTGTTATTAATGGCCTCTACCCGTTTTAAGATCACTTCCATGATAATAAATTTATTAAGCCTTATAATGAGATGAATAACTTGTAGCTACCCTTTAGAACTACAAGTAATCGTAACAGTAGAACCATCAGACGTTAGTTAATTGTGAGCATTTTATCTCCCTGGCGGCGCGGCGGCGTCAGCAGCAGAGGCAGCGACAAGCACCTCCCCCCACCGGCGCCGGACGCGCAGGTTCCTGTACTCCCGCCGCTACACCATCGAGGTCATGGTGGTGGTCGACACCAAGATGGCGCGTTACCACGGCAAGCACTTTAACCAATATGTCCTTACACTCATGTCTGTGGTAAGTCCTTCTTAACTTACATTATTATATCCCGCAATTATCTTATATTTAGCTGCCCATGTCTGTGATGGTAAGCACGTCTTTAACCTGTACACGTTCGTGATTATGTTGTAGAACATGTACACACTCCTGTCGTTGGTAAGAATTCTGTAATTGTTTATGTCGTACAAAGTATATTATAACATATGCGAGTGTATGTCATGCGAGTTAAGGGTCGTGTGGCTCGGGGCAGTCTGGTGACTGCTGGAAAGTCTGGTGGCTCCAGTTGTTCCAATCTCGTGGCAAGACCAGCTTTGGGTCCGTTTCCTTTCATAAGAACATAAGAACAAAGGTAACTGCAGAAGGTCTATTGGCCCATACGAGGCAGCTCCTATTTATAACCACCCAATCCCACTCATATACATCTGATGCTGAAGTTCAATTAAGTTTATTGAGAAAAGGAAGTACATCTCAAAAGGTTACGGGCTATTCATGCCCGTGCCACCTCTTGGGTGGCTTAATCTTCACAAATCAATCTCAAAAGGATAGAGTAGCTTAGGCTATTTCTACCCTCGTCTATATAAGGTCCCTCAAGGGGATCACAAACCCATACAGTACATTATTATTAATCATATTCTACATCTCGCATTCCATTGGTAATCACATGACTCACCTGATGTCTTTGTTTACCTAATAATAAATTGGTATATTTTGGTACCAGTCTTTCTTGAAGGCATGCGTTATTGAACGTGGCAGAAAGGGCGAGATCAATGGTTCTAGCACGAATCTACTAAATTTTCTTACGTTTCTCGTCAGTTGAGAAGGAACTTGAAAAAATAACTGTCCAAAATTCATTTACAATTTTATTATGACCTGATGCTAAGAGATGCGTTTCGTTGACTTTAAAAAAAAACTTATAAAAGACAGAGTAGAAGTGGTTACAATTTGACAGCAGATTGATTGTTGCCGCTGTAGGCGGCTAGTTTATTGTGATACTATATTATAGATACTATAGATTATTGTGAAAACTATATCCTAAAATTCTTAGTGTTTTAACAGAAAACGTAGAGAATTATATCGAGGGTGGGAGTTGGGTAAATGTAACAGCCCCATAAGTGGAATTATGCACTGTTTATTACAGTAAGAAAGTGTACTTATTACACTTAGTATTAAATCGTACTGTCAATTCGGAGGATTAAATGCCAGAATCAGCCAACTGCCGGCGTCATGTGTTTCTTCCAGGCTCTGCCCGAGCAGACAGCCAGAGCATAGTCTGCAGTCCACCAGGGTATGCACTTCCACGTGCCCCAGGCAGTAATTTAGTTTAGTTCATTTATTATGCGCCCCATACCCATCTTGTAGCGGTAGTGGAAAGGGTTACAGAGGCACATAATGGGCTCAGGGACTGAACCCCACAGTTCCCAGGAAGTAGAGCGAGGAATAGAGCAGAGGGCAGCATCGAAGACAGTGTTTGAAAGAGAAGGATGGCCCGAGGGAGGGAGAGACAGAGTGGAGAGGTCGGAGAGAGTAACACAGAGGGTGAATAGGTTCCAGATAGCCTTGGCAAGCTGCCACCAAGGGGAGGGTGAAAAAAGAAAAGGTAACAAGGATGGGGAAATGGTTACTGTTATGGAGGTCATCAAGAACCCGCCATGTAAAATCTAAGAGACGATGTGCAGAGAGAAAGATGGAGACAGGAAAGGGTGCAAGTGCGGGAGTCCACACGAGTGGGTTCACCAGAATTCAGAAAGGACTGGGAAGAAGAGAGGACAGTGTTGGAGAAGGCGACCTCGGGTGTTTGTCAAAACCTCACCCCAGAGGGTATGCCACAGTTGCTTTTGTTATCACGCAGAAGCTTTAGTCCCATCATAAGATTGATTTCCAATAGTCTTATCTTGAATGAAAGGTATATTTAGTTCTTTCCGCATAGTAAGAACTTTGGTAATTATTGGACAGCCAAGTATAATTCTGAGTGCTTCATTTTGCCTTTTTTTCCAGTCTGTCAACACTGTTGGCATTTTGCAGGATTAAAGCTGGTGCATGATAGTCTATCAAAGACCTTGTATATGCTAAGTACATTATTTTTGCTATTCTAATATTAACACTAGCTGAATAGATAATTGGGAGTGAGGTGATGCACTTTACTATAGAGCATCACAATCATTGTTTTTATCTAAATTACTCTAATTTTTGCCCAAAACGTTTTGCATAGTAGTGGCTTCATTTATATGTATAATCTTCCCTGTCCTTATTACACAGGTCCCTTCCTCTTATGTTCTTTGTACACACACATTCTTATGAATGAAAGTTATTATTACTGTATTACATTCCTTACTGTGTGACGAGGATAGTGTCATAGTTTGCTCTGTAGACATATTGTACTGTACTAGTGTAGGTTCATGTAAGATTTATGTGCACTTTTATTTAGTAAACTAAACTTTTGTGATACATTCAATAGGTGGCGTTAATATTCAGAGATGCGAGCATTGGCAATCGGATCGACATAGCGGTGGTAGAAGTAGTACGACAGGACAGGCAGTTTGTCACCCCGAGAAAGGATCACAAAAACAGTGCTGAGGTACCAGGCAAGTCTGCTGAGGAGATGCTGAAGATGTTCTGCAAGTGGCAATACATGGGGCTTAAGCGCAACCCTAACCATCCCAGACGCTACGACACTGCCCTCCTCCTCACCAGGCGAGCATATCATTCTACTTCTAACTACACTATTGCCACTATAATTGCCATAACCTCATACTTTTCATATAAAGAATGTATTATTGCCAGTGTAACTACAAACTGTAGCCATAATCATCATATAAATTCCAATGGTCACCATCACTTCCTAGAGATAAACTAATTGTTCCCATTACTTAAACGAGTAATTGGAACTTAACAGTATGGCCCTTGACAGAATTATGGCTCCATATTATGGAGTCCTTCAGTTTTTAACTTTAGTCCGTATGGTGCTGTATGCTGTGTCAGTTTTTCTGAACAATTACGTGTAAATGTGGTAAATATACAGTAATTGAATTTCATGATTAAAAAATCCTCAATCTGCTCATGTTGTACAATCTTGATAATTCCTTGTATAACATATACTGGATTTACATATTTTGTTTCGTGTTTTACCTTTATTTGAATTTTTCCTAAATGAGAATAAATTAATAACACAGTATTGGTATTAAATGCATGAGTTGTATCAGTTTACATGATGTACATACAGTAATTAGCATAAAATTAAAGGTAATTTTTTCTTTGCTTCTCTATCTGCAACATCCTATAAATGCAGCACACTGTGCAGATTATAACCGAGAAATCTTGTAAACTGCAGGGAGAATATATGTCGCAACCCGTCTACCAAGAACTGCGACACCCTGGGGCTGGCCGAGCTGGGGACGATGTGCTCCCGCCACTCATCATGTTCCATCGTCCAGGACAACGGCCTATCTGCTGCCTTCACCATCGCTCATGAACTTGGCCATCTGTTAGTACCTAATGGGTTCCTGTACCACATGGTTTCTGTGCCTCATGGGGTTTCTGTGCCTCATGGGGTTGCTGTGCCTCATGGGGTTGCTGTGCCTCATGGGGTTTCTGTGCCTCATGGGGTTGCTGTGCCTCATGGGGTTGCTGTGCCTCATGGGGTTTCTGTGCCTCATGGGGTTGCTGTGCCTCATGGGGTTGCTGTGCCTCATGGGGTTGCTGTACATTTTCAAAGTGTACATTTTACATAAAGAACTTGGTTCACATTACAGATATATATGAACAAATCCACAAGGGCCGTGATGAGGGTTCGAACCTATGTCCAAGAGGATCCCAGATGCGCCTTAATCGACTGTGCTACGGCATGGTTAAAATAATTGCAACCGGAAGTTCAACTGACCTCACACAGATCCTGCAGTCTCTCCGAGACACAAACCAGGGTTGTACACAATTCCTCGATGTAAAACTCTGTTTGTGTCTCGGAGAGACTGCAGGATCCGTGTGAAGTCACTTGAACTCCCGGTTGCAATTCTTTTAACCATGTCGTAGCACAGTCGATGAAGGTATGTCTGGGACCCTCTCGGACATAGGTTCGAACCCTCATCCCGGCCCTTGTGGATTTGTTCATTTGATGCATCACGCTATTGTGATTTATTTATTTATTTATTTATTGACTTATTTATCTATTTATTTATTAATGCCGTCACTGGGGGAATGCAACCAGAAAGTCATCAAAACAAAACGATCCACTGCTGGCCTCAATAGAGACTTCAGCCTCGAGAACCACTAAAAGAACCCACAACAATGTAAACAGTTGATCAAAATCTCTTGAAACTAATGCAAGTTGGTTTCCCCCACTTCCCCCACTCATTTGGGGATAGGGGGAGGGAGGAAGTTCATGGTTAGCCAACATCTCCACCCTCAGTTCTACAATAGATGTAATAAAACCCCCGACAACCTGCAGGAAGAGTGTCAGGGAGCTGCTGGGGCCCACACATAAATTGGCATTTCATTACATTCAGTGCTGGTTTTCTGGTGGGGTGGGGGCATCCCTTGTGGCTCCCTGAAGCTAACTATCCATGGAGAAGGAAGAGAAATGGGCACTTACCGGGAGGAGGACGCACCGCAGGAATCCAGACTAGGAGACACCCAGTCGAGAGACATCGCCCAGAGCCACACAAGAGTGCTGAGGCCTGGGAACATTAACAAGATACTAGGTTGCTAGATCCCTGTTCGACCTCCAAAATCCCTGAACCCAAATATTAGCCCAGGACATATTTCTTAACATCATCGGTGCAAGGGTGGACCACAAGCTGGCTAGATTTAATGACACTGCAGATGACCTGAGAAAAAAAAAGTCTTGGAACAGAAGGCCAAAGTAAAAGGAGCAACCCACACGACATCCACCTAGGCAGAATTGGTGGCACAAAGGTAACAGCAGAGAGCTGCCACCAGACACAGCACATGATGCAACCCCGGCTGAACCAATGAAGCCTCAATGCCTAAGGGATCCCCTCTGGAAGCCAACCGACTGATTCTTCACCAGAAATGGAGCCGGCTGCTCATGATTAGTTGTTTTATAAGTCACACTTTACATTGTAATGATACCCATGTAGTATTGTTTTATAAATAAGTTATTATCATTTGGAGTATTATTTAGATGCAAATTTAATATTGTAGTATAGTAGTACAATAATAATTTGTTCTGTTTGGGACAGGTATCCTGTGTATATATATACTGTATATGTACCGGTATACTTTAGGCTTATATCGAGGTCCCCTCAAAGGTCGAACTACTGACCCTCACCAGGGTACAACCCCATAGCAATTGACTAACTCCCAGGTACCTATTTACTGCGAGGTAAACAGAGGCATTAGACGAAAGGAAACATGCCCAACCATTTCTCTCCCACCGGGAATTCAAACACGAGATTCCCGATTGTGAGTCAAGAACTATCCTAACTGTACTGCCAAGACCTTTAATCATTATGGAACTAAATATTATAAGTTAGTTGATATCATGGTAATGACTAGTTTAGTTACTGTATGAATATGAAGTAATGAAAAGGAAAAGTAGTATTTAGTATATTGGTACTGGGTATATTATTTAATAAGATTGTATTATATCATCATGTTTGTGCAGTTTTGCAACTGTGTATGTGTGGGAATGAAGAGTTAAATATAGGTTACACAGTTTAAAGTAACAATAGTGCAGTAATACTGTACAGTGATTTTAAGTACCACTGGATACCAGATAACTGCTTTGAGTGGTTTAATTAAGTGTTTTTAATTTCTGTATTTATATTGAAGAGCAGTTTCATTACTATTGACTACATGGATGTCTGTTGAAACAGAGATCCATGTATATCAAGTACTTCTCAAGTACTACTTGAATCATTGGTACATGAAGATCAAAATATATTAATTTATTATCTACTTAATCACACTTCTACTATAAAACTTGTGCAGGTTGAACATGCCCCATGATGATGATAAGAAGTGTAGCATCCTGGAGGGCACCAATGATGGGAGCCAGTGGATGAATGTGATGAGTCGCATGCTGGACCACAACACGCTGCCGTGGGAGTGGTCCAACTGCTCCAGGCACCATCTCACTGATTTCCTTCAGTGAGTGTTTTTCTTAGCATGAGGTTTCCATTTACAAGCTTGCCTGCCTGATGCTCACGACAACTGCCACAATTTTTTGTTGTACACTTATCTAATTGCACTTCCCTAGTTGTGATTGCATTTATTAAGCTTCATCTTCTGGGCCCTAGGATTTAACAATTAATTGTATTATACTGTATATGAAAAAGCATGAGTCATTTTCTCTTATATAGATTTTAATCTATGTACTGTACTGTATTTGTATAACTTCTACTGTATCCTCTTTTTAAACATTCTTTTTTTACTTATTACCCTGTGTGTAATTCTCAGGCCCCAATATCTGCAAGATCAACACCTTTGGGATTTATGGCCAGCAACTTATAATAATAATAATATTGTAATTCATTATGTCAGGGAGACTGGCAGCCAGTACTGTATATATATATACAGGTACATGTTAGTCTTAAATCGAGGCTTCCCTAAAGTCGAACTACTGATCCTCTCCAAGATACAACCCCTACAACAAGCCGACTATCTCCTTGATACCTATTTACTGCTGGGTGAAGAGGAGCATTAAGTAATAGCAAATGTACCCAACCATTTCTGTCCCACCCAGGATTTGAACCCAGAATTCTTGATTGTGAGTTGAGAACGAACCCAACTGTACTACAACTGTACATTAGACCAAAGTGCTTAGCTGCAATTTTAAAAATAAAGGTACAAATTAAATTTGGTAAGTTTTCTTTGCAAAGGACATTAATATATGGCAATTAAATATTTAAAACTTAGAGAAATACTCGAAATCCTACACTGGATTAGCAAAATTAAATATTACTCTAAATTCTGATATCGACATAAGGTCTTCAGATTTTGATCATCAGTTCTTCCACAATTCATTTTTTCTCGATGAGAGATGATGCAATGTAAATAGGTATTTTTCTTTAATTATCCTAAAGTGTTTCAAACTAATTTTCTGGGCTGGCCCTCAGTAGCTCCCCAGTGTATTGTTTTGCTTCATCTTTAATTTCTCGGAGGTTTTACTTAATCACAAAGATGATCTTAGATTCCCATTTTACTTTCAATTCAGTGAACCCTTCAATTCTGGTCCAAATTTTTGGTTGGTCTGTGCAAGTTCAGAAGCCTGGTAGTTTGTTGTTGTTTTGGATTCAGCTACTTGGAGGGAGGGAAGTAATTGTCAGGGAAAAATCGCTAAGCCATTATGACTAAATAGCACTTGGAAGGGGTCAGGTTAAGGATTTGGGATGGGTCGGGGGGAAGGAATGGTGTTCAACCACTTGGATGGTTGGGATTGAACGCCGACCTGCGTGAAGCGAGACCGTGCTGTAGGTTGCTTCTGGATCGTCTATATGTCATGGCTGGCCTCGGTGCTTTTCTGCCAAGTGCCTCTTTAAACCTCATCCTGTGTGGCTTGGGTTCACACTGTTGGTGTAGTGTTGGCCTGGCCTTTTAAACTTCTTAGAGCTGCATGTGCTCAGTGTTACCTTCCCCAAGTGTTCTCTAGCACTGCCCCCACACTGACAGAGTTCTCTGGGCGAGGCAGGGGTCCCGTTGCCTCTGTCTTGACCTTGGTTCGGGCATTATTGCAACATGTTTACACAGTGCACCAGACAAAATGGCTGACTTGTCAGCTGCAGGGTAATTAAGGGTAACTAGCAGAAAACTGCTACGCAACTGAGTGGTTCATTTTGATGTCTCGGTATCTATGATATGTTTGCTTTTCTGTTTTCTGTATTGTCTTGCTCACTTTTCTTGTGTTTTTTTCTTGGTCTGAGGGAACTAGTATACTCATGCTCCTTGCAGTTCTATTGAAGAGGCCAGATTTTGGCCTCTGGTCCCATGCAGGCTTACAATGACTTATAAGGGCCTGGCATGGATCGAATTGGGTGGAGCTAACCAGGTTGCTAGCAACAGGAAGCCACCATAGGAGCCCTCCTTGAAATATACCTATTAGGTACTCATTTTTGTCAACTGTTGATTATATCAAGTCGAGCCTATTAATTATACAGTAATTTGTTTTGTCAGACAGGAAGCCTTTGTATAAACAATACTGTATATACTTTAGGCTTGTATAGAGGTCTCCCTAAGGTCAAACTACTGACCCTTCCCAGGATGCAACCCCCACAACAGTTGCCTAATTGCAGGGTACCTATGTGCTGCTAGGTGAACAGAGGCATCAGGCGAGAGGAAACATGCCTAACCATATCTGTCCTGCCAAGGAATCGAACTCAGGATTTTCAATTGCGAGTCGAGAAGCCATATTCCAAACCAGTCTCCGTGGTGTAGTGGTAAGACACTCACCTGGCGTTCCACGAGCGCTTTGTCATGGGTTCGTATCCTGGCCGGGGAGGATTTACTGGGCCCAAATCCTTAACTGTAGCCTCTGTTTAACTCAACAGTATAATGGGTACTTGGTTGTAACAACGATTCTTCGTGGGGTTTGTATTCCAGAGATCTGCCCGAAACGCTACGCATACTAGTGGCTGTACAAGAATGTAACAACTCTTGTATATATCAAAAAATGTATATAAAATACATTTTGTATTTATGTATTTATACAAAATGTATTTATGTATATATAAAAAAAATATTGCCGTTTGTACATTAGTTTTTCAAATATTTTGGACAAGGACAGGATTGTTTTGCTTCATTTTGACTTCCTGGATGTTTCCTTTGGGGAGGGTAATCGTAAGGACTCTGTTTCCTGCACCTCCTGTTTTAGTCTTCGGTAGGCTTTTAAGGATTCCTGATGCTGATGCGACTCAAATGAGTGGAGCTATCTCAGTGCGACTAACTGCAAGAAGCCACTGAGATCCAACCAGAAAGAGGCATTTCATTACGTACATTCAACACTGGTGTTTTGAGAATATCAGGGAAGGCTCAGATTTCAAATGATTTGTTGTTGTGTTATGGTTGAAGCTAAAACACTTTAGGCTTTTTCATAAATTAGGTTTGGAAAGGTTACTTGCTTTAGTTTTATGTCATATTACTAACATCTGAGGAATTTGTTGAGGATAGGTACAGAGCCTCATGATAGTTACCTAAGAGATAGTCATTTACAATGATTTGGGATGCTGGGATCTTATTTGCAAGGGATGTGCAAATTGATGTGAAGAAGCGTAAATTTAATAGTAGCAGTGCTAGTGGCTGATAGCATTCCATTGTCACTTATGAGGATTTTTTTTTATTAGTGTTCTTTGATAGTAATTAATATAGTATCTAGGAAATAGTGTTCCATGTTTTTTCATTTTATTCTTTATTTCCCTAAATTATGACGGCTTCTCTTGGTTCTCTTTATTATCTTAGATATCTTAGATAAGAGTACACCTTAAATGATTTTTTGGTAATGCCCCATATCCTGTATTTCTTCTCATATTTGTGCTTCTTGTTAATTGATTTTAGTATGCCTTTATTAAGCCATGTGTTGTTTATCCTATACAAGAAGTAAAACCAAGACAAAAGACTCGCTAGGAATCTTAAAAGAAGAAGAAACCAACCTAAGGATGTTTTATTACAACCCCATTAGCTCCTTGTTTCTTCTTGAACAGGGGTGGCCATGGGTGGTGTCTAGAGGATGAGCCTTGGACCAACAAACTAATTGAAGAGACAACTGAATTCACACTGGCTGGGGAACTCTTCAATGCCAGCAAGCAGTGTCAGTATGTGTTTGGCATGAATTCTCGGATCTGCCCTTACATGGTTAGTGCTTATTATTCACCATTATGAATAATTACATGACACTTATTAACTTTTTCTGGGAGTGCTTCCCTGGAACTAGCCACTAGGTAATCTCCACACACATCATGTCCCACCAGGCCCTTATGAGTCATAAAAGTCTATCACAGACCAAAAGCAGAATTTGGCCCACTCGGTAGAGGCACAGGGAATTTGGGGAGAGATATAAACTCAGGCCAAGAACAAAAACTGCTGGAAGGGTAGTGCCCCAAAACAAGAAACACTCTCAGCTAGGTACACAGTCATTTGCTAGTTTCACTTCCCCATCTCCAGATGACAGTCCCAGCAGCACAGGGGTCTAGCCAGTGATCCCAATCGGTCATGCACCTGGTGTGGTACCTACAATAGCTCTTTGTGCTCCAGTCTAGCCCTTTCTGGTTTTGGTTTTCAGGTAAGTATTGGCTATCTTATTGGACTTCGTCTTACAAGGGGCCTTTGTGCCTGTTCCAATTTTTTTGTGCCACTTCAAGAGCATGATTTTCATGGCCTTGCTTCCTGTGTGGACCAAGAGTCAACTGTTTGCCTCTGCTGCAAGTAGCTAGGATTACTTCCCCTTTTGCTCACTGGCATTGCCCTTGCCCAGTCTGTTTTACTCACCTATGGGGTATTGGTTGTCTGTTCCTTTGAAACTGTCATCCCTTGAGGGGTCTCTGTTTGGATCATGATTGAGTTTTTACTCCTCTGCAAGGACCGGAGGGTAGGACAGGACAGGGGTTTGTATTGTTTGCGGTCAACGAAGTGTGTCACAAGTCAGCTTTTGGCTGTGTATGGCTTTCACCTTCATATGCTGTGTATGGCTTTCACCTTCATATGCTGTGTTTACCCTAGTGGACTTTGTTCAGTGGGCATCACCTGATCCTGACGTTCCAGGCAGACCTGCAGCTGCTCGTGGGTTTGCTTACATAACCAGGTCTTGGATGCACTGCTATGTGTTGTCGCTGGCTTTTGTTTGCTCCATACCCCCTTTTGTGGAGGTGGCATTTTGGGTGGCGACTGCTATTTGGGAAGGAATCCCATATTTCATTTTACTGTCTTGGGCTATTTTCAATATCCCAGAGTTGGTGCATCCATTTTTTTCCTGTGGATTTGGGATGTTGAGTAATAGGAGCCTGGTTTTTAGTTTGCTCACCTTCCTTACTCCTCATCCTGGTACATGTTTGTTTTGTTTATATGTGTTGAGTACCATGCTTCTGTAGTTCTCTCGGCTACCTTTTTTATCTCCTTCAATATGGTCTCCGAGGTATTTTTTGGACTTCAGTGTTTCTGGCTTCTTGGGGGATGGGGGGTCTTTTCGGTGCATTACCTCAATCTTGCATGTGGCGTAGGCTGTTGAGCTGGAGATTTTCATATGGGGAAACTTTCTCCTTTCAGGGGGTTTTCTTGTGCTTGGATTTGGCCAGTTTCTAACTTTGCATTATCTTCTGCATAATACTGTAACTTTTTCTCAGTTGGTTTTTGGCTTAGCCACATTGATGTCTTGTTGGCTCTATTTTGCTGTTGCTTCATGTGTTCTATCACCTATGGATTTCATTCTTGTTTTTCTCCTCATTTATTTTACTTTCAGTCCGGGATTTGTTTTTAAAGATTCTGCTTTTGTTGGTGCTTGTTTCTGGGTGCTTGGTGCATGTGAAGGTCTTGTAGAGTTTCATGCTCTCCTTAGGAAGTGTGAGAATTTGTTTTTTTTTTATATTGATATATATACAAGAGTTCTTACATTCTTGTACAGCCACTAATACGCGTAGTGTTTAGGGCAAGTCCTTAATCCTATGTTCCCTGGAATACGACTCCCGTGAAGAATCGTTAACAACCAGGTACCCATTTTACTACTGAGTTAAGCAGAGGCTACAGTTAAGGATTTGCACCCAGTAAATCCTCCATGGCCAGGATACGAACCCAGGACAAAGTGCTCGTGGAACACCAGGCGAGCGTCTTAACCACTACACCACGGGGGCTGCTTTTGGCCTGGATATGTGATCTTTTCATTTGCAGCTCACCCTTTCGTTTTTAGCTATAAATGAAATGGCTGAGTTGCAGAAGGGGTCCTTTGATCTTTGGTCCTATATCTGGCTGGAGATGCATCACTTGCTGTGTCCAGTAGTGGCTGTTCATTCTTATTTGGGTTCCCCTCGAAGCACACCAGGGATGCTTTGTTTATCAATCTGGTATCCCTGGTCTTGGGTCATCTGCAGTGTCTGTAAGTTGGTAATCCAGCCTGCTGTCTAGCCATGGGGCTCATCATTTTGATGAATTTACAGCTCTGTCTGTCTTCTTTTCAAACATGTCTTAGTCTGTATTTTGAGCTTGTGGGTTTTGGTATTTTAAAGAGGTTCTGCCCCCCCCCCCACAATATTTAATTGATACTGATATTTCTGACCCATGTCGGGCTTATGTGGCATTGGGTAGAAAGACTTGGTGCTGGTCCTCCCTTTTTTAGAGGGTTACTGATTGCAGCTACCCTCTGCTCCTGGTAAGCCATCCCTGCTTATCTTGTTCTCCATGGGGGGGGGGGGGATAGTTCCAGGGTGCCACGGAAAGGACCCACAATACAGAGGTATTTCATTACATTCAGTGCTTGATGTTTTCAGTCAGTGCATATCTGTTTAAAATTTGTAATACAGTATTATTTTCTTAGGATACATATGACCCTTGAAGTGTGCAATTTCTTCTTTGCCAATAAGATTTAAAAAAAATATTACAAATTAAATAAAAAAAATTGTTTAATAAATTCCATATATTGTACCTCCTTGGATATAAAAAATTTCATGTTCATTAAATTTTTATACTGATATTGGTTTCTGAAATTTGGATGAAGAGTTGTACTTTAATTTTACATTTTCTTTTCTGGGAGGGCTGCATCAGTGGCTCCATTACTACATCCTGGATAGCTCCACCCAAATCGATTCACACCAAGCCCTTGCGAGTCTTAAAAAGCCTTCCTAAGACCAGAGGCCAAAATCTGGTCCCCTCATTGAGGTGCGAAGAACAGAAAATTTGAGATCACGCTAACCGAAGGAATAGGCCACCAAAAAGGTAGGACGAATCAGAGACAGACAACAGCAAGGTAAAAAATTTAAGAAATCAAAAAAGTGAACTATTTTTCTCAAAATAACATTGTATAGGGTAAATCAAAACACAGAAAATGGGTGACCCAACAGGCAACGCCTTCTCTTTCAAATTACAGCCATCTGCCTGCAGGTGGCCAACCACAGCTGCTGGCCACCATGCAGTCTCAATCCTGGTGCGCTCTGGTTCACATCTCGGCTCTTCGAGTTCCAATTTTCAGATAATTGGAGGCATTCCTTTGGATAATGTCCTGCAGGAGGCCATTTTGCCTGTGTATTGTTCCACTTTATGTATAATTTCTTTATGTACATAAAAATTTTTTGCCTATCCTGTTGTGTGGACTTCAAGAAACAGTTTGCTTAGAGCTGAATGTGCCTAGGGTTGCCTTCCCTAGGTGCTTGGTAGTACAGTATTTCCACTGCCCTGACATGATTACCTATTCTGGTGCATTTTTTGGTGTCAGTATCCAAGAGGTCAGCCTCCTGTGGAAGGAGGCTTGCTCTAGGTAGTGCTTGAGTGTTCAGGCTCTGTGAGACTTGGTATTACAGTTGGGCCCTGCTTGAGGGATACTCTTCTTTGGTTAGGAGAGCACAGATTTGCACGTGCTTATTTTTTTGGGCATGCCACTCAAACCTATGGCATCTGCGTCTTTATAAGTTTCTAATGTGTGGGATTTTCAGTAAGTGATTCCTGTGCCTGGGTTTCCTGCTTTGCTTTTTTTAAGCCTTCAGCTTATTCTTCTACCTCTGCTAGCCACCTGTGTTGAGGCCTGTGATGTGTGTTCTCATGGTCTTTATTTTGATTTGCTTTTGTCCCCTCATGCCAAAGGTGGGGTACTCCATATCCTGGGGAGAGGTTCTGCATTCTTTCAGTTTCCCTCTCCTTCTTGGGCCCTGTATGCACTTCCTTCCCTTTATCTAGATTGTGTGTTGTGCTTGTTTCCTGGGACAGGGCATCTCAGGGGGCTGCCACTTTCTGGGTCTGTCTTTCCCATGTTTTTAGTGCAGTGTTGTTATCTGTGTGGAAGATCTGGGTTAACCATTTTGTGTTATGATTTGGGTCTGGGACCCAAACTGGCAGTTTCCAGTTTTTTTGTATTCTCATCATCTCCTGTGGGAGTTTGGTCTTGTTTGCTTTTTGAATTCTCAACATTAGGTCCTTTTGCATGTTCTGTGGCCTAAGTTGGGCGGATATCTTCTTGAGATTATCTCGAGATGATTTCGGGGCTTATCGTCCCTGTGGCCTGGTCCTCAACCAGGCCTCCTTTTTGTTACACACCCCCAGGAAGCAGCCCGTAGCAGCTGTCTAACTCCCAGGTACTTTTTATTGCTAGGTAACAGGGGCATTAGGGTGAAAGAAAATGCCCATTTGTTTCCGCCTCCATCGGGAATCGAACCCGGAACCTCAGGACTACGAATCTGAAGTGCTTTCCACTCAGCTGTCAGGCCCCTATGGTTCCCCTCCTTCTTTTTTCCCTTGGCATAATTCGCCCTGGATTGGTCTCTCCTCTGCAATTCTGTTGAGTCTTACGAGTGTTTAGTCTTATGAGTAGGTGGGATGCTTGGCAGTTTGATTTTTCCTCCATTCTCCATGGGGTTACCAATCTGTCTTCCATCCCACATGAGTCCTTCAGGCTCTGCAGCCCATTTTTCTCATCACATCCCCTTTTGTCTGTTATGCTATGCCCTCTCACTTGATCTTCATTTTTTCTTTTAGCAACATCTTGATGTGTTTGGCCCTATGGGCTGCCTTAGCCCCTCTCACTTTTTTTCCAGGGGGGCCAGCTTGTTTTTGTTATGACATTCTTGCTTGCTACCAGTTTTTTAATGTTTTCTTTGGATTCCTGACTGTGTCTATGAGCCAGGAGCTTCTTTGTGGTGACTGTTTCTCTTCATCTTCACTGTTTTGCACCTCTTGCTGGAGCAGTTTGTCTTGTGCACGTGATGAAATGACATGGTGCAGTGGATGATGTACGCATCACACAGTCAATCACATTAAGGTCAGCACTAGAAGGCGGGACCATGTAGACCTCTCCCTAGCCTATTGTGACCTCGATGAACCTAACAGATTTCCTGTTCCCGACAAGGGTGTACACACCATAAAAGTTATGGGAGCACTTGTCTTTGTTCGTCTTGTAATGCTTTCTCTAAGCCTGGGCCCCTTATTTGTTTCCTCCGTGTTCCTTTAGGACAGTGGCTCCTTACCGGTGGTTCATGGAAGATTTTAAGGGTTCCAAGGGACTTTTATTATGTATAGCATTGTTCCCTCATAATTCAGATTCATTTTGAGTGTGTGTAATGAAATGTGTCCTTTTTTCTTTTACTTGTATTTTTAACTGAAAATAATGATCAGGGTTTGACATACGAATGTATGTTTTTTGCCGAAATAGCTTCTTATAATTTTTGCTAGCTGTATGCTATTTTGTTGTAAGAATCCACAAATGAGAATGTGATTCTAAGGTATATTTATTTATTTTCATCTCCCCATTTCTTCATTCCATTCATCTGTGGGCAGGGTTATAGGCTGCCTGGAGGATTTTGCAAGGTCATGCTTGGTCAGTTTCATCTTTTGCACGTTTGTTTTTGCTTTTAACTTTCAGAGCATTATGTGAGGGGTGGCTCTTACAGTATAAGACTTTCTTCCACTGTACAGCTACTTATCTGCACAACTCTTCGGTTAGGTTCCTCTCATTTTCTTGTGCAGTTCTGTTCTTCATGGGTTTCTGGTTTCAGCTTGTGCTCATTCACTCACCCTGTTGCTTTTCATGGTGGTAGGCATTTTGCTTATGTGTTCCTGTTCAATTTTGTTCTCTCTGTCCTTCCATTGCCTGGTTTTAACAGTGTGGCAGTAGAGTATTATAGTCCAGTGGGGTTCTACCTATTCCTTAATTTGTCTTCAACTGGTTTCTGCTTCTTTATGCATGCTGCCTTGTTGAACTTGGCTGCCTTCCTCCTGCACCTTCAGGTGTGTTTAGTTTCTCGGCTAGTGCTTGGAGGTTGTGCCAATACTGGGTTTTTGACTGGTTTGCCTGGTCCCTTCTTGGATTTGTTAGCTCTGAACTCTCCTGGTTCTCTGTTTGCTTCGCCTTGCAGGATCTTTAGCAGAGCCCTGGTGGCACTATGCTGGTTTTTCTAATCTTCCTTTATGATCCTTTCTCTTCACTTGGGATCAGGGGTTTTGGTCCCTGTGTTCCTCAGATTTTTCTCAAGGAGAGTGCTCCGTTTTCCTTTTCTGGCATGCAGCGAGTTTGCTGCTCTGTGGTTTTCTTATTTTTTTCTGGTCGCTGTGCTCCTACTTTACTCCACCTTTTCCCCAATATTCCTTTTCTGTCTGTGCATGGTGTGTTCTTGCGGGTGATCTCTTATTTCCATTCCATTTGCGTCCACTTGTTCTACAGGGTTATTCTTCTGTCTTGACCCTGCTCTCTGGCTGGGTTGCCTAGGGTCACTTTTTTTTCGGCAAGCTTTTCTTGATTTGGGTTTATTTTTGTGCCTTCTAGCATGGTTCCTGCTCATGTTATTTTGTGGGCTGGTGTTGTTGGCTGGCAGGGTGTTCTACTAGCTAGGCCATGGTTATGTGGTTCTGGGCCTGGGTTGGTTGACATGTGATGGCCAACTGGTAGCGTTTCACACCCCACTGACAATAGGGTTCTTGGCATTTTGTTTCTCCTGTCCTTTGTCGTTTTTGGTGGTCCAGGATTTTCCAGATGCTTTGTTTCCATGTTCAGAGGTTTGCAGGTTTGCCTGCTGTTCTTTATATTCCCTGGGCTGCATTCTGGATTCAGGTAGTTCTGTTGTTCAAACAAGATCTTGGTGATTCAATCCTTGGTACTTGTGCCAGTGCCGCCCCTGGACCTGTGTGCCTTTGAGTTGGTTCCCGCTCCTCCCACTTAGTAGTTTTTGTCTTCTGCTTCCTCCACACTAGGTATGTTTCCTTTGTGTTTTTGCTTTCTGTTGAGAGATATGTAACAACAGGGAGCCACTGAAGGAGCCCTTGCTAAAAACCAGTGTTGAATGTAATGAAACAATACTTTCTGGTGAGTCCCATGGTGACTTCCTAGTCCCCCCCTCCTTTCCATTTCCCAGTGTGTCCGGATATTTTATTCTTGGTCTTCCATCAGATTAAGATTAAGACCACATTGTGGTCAGCAGCATTGGTTGGCCATCTGGTGACAGTCAGTGGTAACTAGAAAGAGAAAAGCTTGCCTGCCGGGTAGCTCATTTTCTGTGTTTTGATTTATCTTATACTGTACTATGTTATTTTGGGAAAATTTTTTCCCTTTTTTGTTTTCTTGATATTTTTATTTTTATTTTACCTTGCTGTTGTCTGTTTTGGATTTGTCCTACCTTTCTGGTGGCCTATTCCTTTAGTTAGAGTGATCTCAAATCCTCTGCTTCTTGTGCCTCTGTGAGGAGACCAGGTTTTGGCCTCTTGTCTTAGGAAAGCTTTTTTAAGACTTGCAAGGGCCTGGTGTGAATCGATTTGGGAGGAGCTATCCAGGATGTAGCAACAGAGAGGCACTGAAGGACCCATCATAAAGTGGCATTTCATTTTATTCAGTGCTGGATTTCTTGTGTTACTGAAGGAAAACATAACATATATACGAGAAATATAAGATATATACAGCACCTATATAATAAGAATAATATTTATTTAGGGAAAAGTACAGGTACATACATACAAAATGGAACACAAGAAAAATGTTGGATTTCTAGGTAAGACAAGTATATACTAAACCTAAAGCCACTAATACGCACAGTGTCCAGGCACGATGTAGTAAAAATAAGCTTAAAAACTAAGACTTAAAACTGATTGAGATCAAAAGCAAAAATTAGCTGAAGTAAAAAAATATAAAAAATGGCAATAATTACATGGTGAAGGTTATAGCAGAAATTGCAGCAGAACAGCAGATAATAATTTTCACTAAATAAAATAGAAGGAATACAACTGTGAGTAATTTTTACATGGTAGATGTCAGCAGTTTTACTAGGGCAGTCATTAATGTTCAATGATAGCAAAACATAGGTTGTCATTTAGGAGGTAAGGTAGATTACATACAGTTGATTAGGCAGTATTTAGTTTCTCTCTTAAACTGGTTGAGAGAGGGACAGTCTTTGATGTGATTGGGAAGGGCATTCCACATTTTGGGACCCTTGATTTGCAGAGCATTTATAATGTATCTTGGTTGAGTCGCACTCTTGAAATATTTTGGAACAAGATATTTGTTTCTAGTGCCTCCCCAAAATGCCCAAACCTGCCTAAAATGCTGTGTGTATTAGTGGCTTTACAAGAATGTAAGAACAACAATATTATGTACTCTTACAACCAAATATATCTTCTTGTATATATATAAATAAAATAAATAAACATGTGAATGAAGAAAAATTAAAAAATTGGTCTGAAACATAATACATATAGTAAATGTTTTTGGATGTGTTGATACTAAATGGTCAAAAATTCTTCCAATTAATTATTTTGATGTATAATAAAAAGGTTCATAATTTTATCGGGGTAGTAATATCCAGAGAGATGTTAATGGTTGATAATTATTGATATTTATAAACAAAGCACAATTTCTTTACATTTCTATAGGGAGAAACGTCATATGCAGTATGCCAGACTCAGCCTGGGTGAACCAAAATATGTCATATGATGTAAGTTGTCATCTAAGGCTGAAGCACATAGTGTACATGACCATTCAAGCAACAACAACAAAACATTTTTTAATTTAACCTAAAAATAGGCCACTTCTAGTTCCACCAAAAACTAATTATCAATCAACATTTATTTATTGTTTTATTTTTATTAGTGTCTTGACAGATTTTTATCTCATTTCAACTTAGTTTTATTATTTTATATTTTTAATCACATTGAAATTAATTGCAAAATGTCATGTGATACCAGTATGTGTGGGTGTAAATGTGACATAATGTGTGTGTGATGTTTCAGCCAACGTGTAAGCGGCTGTGGTGTACCACATCCGTAGGCAAGGAAGGATGCCGAACCCAACACATGCCCTGGGCTGATGGTACCACCTGTAGCTCAGGTAGCTGGTGTCTCCGGGGAAAGTGCGTGCCCAAAGATAAGACGGTCTTAAAGAAAGTGAATGGTGACTGGGGTGAATGGTTAGAGTAAGTTTCGATGATAGTTACTGCTAGTTAAATGCATTTATATAATTTAGTACATTAGTAGTTTGATTTGTTAATATACCTCATTCTTCTGTTTTGGAGAGGTAAGGTAGGGCTATTTTAAGGTACCCCGGTAGGCCTATAACCACCTTTATACCAAGTTCTGAAATACGTGGGTGAGCTTTGATGTTATACACTTTTAGTGTGGTCATGAATAGCCCAAGTTAGCTGTTTCTAAGTGTTCCTATGAACACCATTTGATCCTAGTGATTCCTCAAACTTTTCTTTAAATCCCAAAAGTTTAAAAACTTTTGGGATTACATTCTTTCTTTATGAAACTTACCAATCATCATGAAACTCTTGCTGCATTCCAACATATGGAAACATGATCAAACACATTGAGCAGTGCTTACATAGTTAAAAGAGGATACATTGAGCAGTGCTTACATAGTTAAAAGAGGATACATTGAGCAGTGCTTACATAGTTAAAAGAGGATACATTGAGCAGTGCTTACATAGTTAAAAGAGGATACATTGAGCAGTGCTTACATAGTTAAAAGAGGATACATTGAGCAGTGCTTGCATAGTTAAAAGAGGACACATTGAGCAGTGCTTACATAGTTAAAAGAGGGAGATATGATAAGCCTTTTTAGTCTGCTTCCTGTCATTGTTATGAATAATGCAAGGCTAGGAAATGCTTCCTTATTTTAATATTAATAAACTTTTTTGTCCATTATATTTATATTCTAGCAGTGGCATTAACAGGAATGTGTTTATCTCTGCCAAACAATCCTATTATGGGTTTATGGTCAGTTCTAGCAAGAAATTTCCTACCTAGAAGAAAATACCTAAGTTTATTTACAGTACAGTACTGTATATATCAAAACTAAAGCATCTGTCTAACTGAGAATAATTCTGCTCTGTTGAAGACAATTTATTACTAGCAAAAATAGACAAATTTTGTTGGTCATCTGTTTCCTGTAACAAAACACAGCTGACCCCCACTGGTGAAGCATCTACATTTATTATCAACCCTTCAACTCAACAATACAACTAGGATGTTCTTGCCATTTACCCATAAACTATGTGACACAGTCACAGATGTTTCAAGTACCAGTTCCGTATAAGAGTTATAAGGTCCCACAGAGTAAACAGGGCAGTCATACACTGCACAAGGGCGATAGTAAACAGCTATCCTCTTGAAAAAATCCTGAACAGACAGAATTGGTACTCACCTAATTGTACTCAGCTAATTGTGCTTGCAGGGGTTGAGCTTTGTCTCTTTGGTCCCGCCTCTCAACTGTCAATCAGCTGGTGAGGATGTAGAATTGGTGTGATTGATTGATTGATAAAGATTAAGCCACCCAAGAGATGGCACGGGCATGAATAGTCCGTAAGTGGTGGCCCTTTTGAACCATTACCAGTATCAAGAGATGATACTGGAGATCTGCGGAGGCGTGACTGCACCCTGCGTGATGGGAGATGTCTCCCGGACCAAATAGTGACCAAATGGTCAATCGGTGTGAAGGCCTCAGTGTTCTGAGGTACCATAGCTGATGCACAACCCTCCACCTCACAAGTCAACTCTGTGGCTTGCCCCACCGAATTGTTGATGGATGGAGAAATTCAAAAGAAACTGCTGAAAATAGACAAGGAAAGTGATGTGGATGATTCCGGTCCTGATGAGGATTAACCCTTCGATTGTGAGAGTCATACAAGGATGCTTTTGACATATTGACCACACTGTGCAAGTCATACAGGGAAGATTTAAAGTACAGTACTGCATAAGATTTTGAAGTCCCACAGGTACACATGGTTCATATCAGCCTCCTTAGGCCTCCAGCAAATCGATGCCATTTTGAATTAAAATCATGGGTACCATTCCTGGGAGTTAAGGTCATTCAGTGAGCAACCAAGGCTAGCATATGCAGCATGAGCTAACAGCACCGTTGTTTAGCTTGTATCCACAGCATCACTTAAAAATGCTGAAATAATTCAATAATTTAATAATTCATTGTCAGGAGACAGGCAGCCAGTTTATACATACAGTACATGTTAGGCTCCTATTGAAATTGAAATAAGTTTATTGATGTAAAATACACACAAAGGGATGAGGTAGCTCAAGCTATTCTCACCCCGTTCAGTACATCGTGTTAATACATACATATAAACACATCTCAAACAATAAACATATTACCAAATAGGCTCCTATTGAGGTGTATATTTCGAGGGGGGGGGGGGCCTGATAGTACAGTTGGGTTCATTCTCGACTCTCAATCGAGAATTCCGGGTTCAAATCCTGGGCGGACAGATATGATTGGGTTCACTTCCTATCACCTAATGCCCCTTGTCCACCTAACAGTAAATAAGTACCCAGAAGTTAGTCAGCTTGGTGTGGAGTTGCATGCTGGGAAGGGTCAATAATTTGACCCTGGGGGTGGGGGGGAGGTAGAACCAGTGGTTCTACCACTGGTTCAGTGGTAGGTAGAACTCTAGAACTTTTCCTGGAGCAGGTGGGGGTGGTAGAACTACTCCACCTGCTCCAGGAAAATACTTCCTGAACTTGCTCAACAGAAGTTTTATAGTTGGAGGGGAGACGTTGGCACGCATTTTAAAACAAGTCCATATTATTTGGACAATAAATAGAATTTTTACAAATTTTGAAAGTAATGACGCTCCTTTGCGTCATCACCGACTTTTGTTTTGATTTTATGCCGCATATATATATGCATCATTAGAGTGCAAAAGTGGAGATCGTACCCTGATCGTGTGTCATTATCACACTCAGGCTCTTCTGTAATACTATCATGGCTAAATAATACCAGTTACATATATATTTTGACATTATTTGGCAATGCTGTGGTCACAAGCTGAACAGCAATGCTGTGAGCTCATGCTGCGTGTGCTAGCCTTAGTTGCTCACTTAGTACTGAGGCTCTCACACCTGGGAATGTTGGCCACAATTTAAAAAAAAATGAGGTCTGTTTACAAGAGCCCTGAGAAAGCTGATGTGAACCCCATGTAGCCGTGGGAGTTTTGAATCATACGCTATAGTGTACCTATAAGATCCCAGAGACGTGTTGCACACCCTCCGTCGAGCACCTGCAGGCGCGTTGAGCAGTTCAGTGGTTAAATACTAAATATAAAGATACAGTACTAGAGCAACATCCTATTTTGCCAGATAATTCGCTTTGATGAACTCTCTCTCATTGCAGATGGAGTTCATGTTCCCGTACTTGTGGAGTAGGTGTTCGAAGCTCCACTAGGCACTGCAACTCCCCAAAGCCTAGCTATGGTGGTTGGTACTGCATAGGAGAGCGTGTGCGGTATGAGTCTTGCATCATGAAGCCATGCCCCCCTGATTCTATAGACTACCGCACACAACAGTGTCAGGTGTATAACAACATGAATTTTAACCTCTCTGATATTCCTGAAGATGTCATCTGGGTACCAAAATATGCTGGAAGTAATTATAAGCTTTATTTTGTTGTCTTCAGAAAATACTTGCTTTTCATGTATTGTATTGTCATTAAATATAACAGTAATGAATGTATAATTTTGAGGTAATAATATGAGACTTGAAATTTAAGTACAGGAAAAGCTAAAGTTTGGTTATAATAACTCAGTTACCTCTGTAATATTTTCAACAGTTTCAAGAGAAGACAGTTGTCAACTTTTCTGCCAGGTTTACAATAAGACCCGAACCTCGTACCTGAAGCTTCGAAATAAGGTTGAAGATGGTACTCCATGTGGGCCTGGCACTTATGATATCTGTGTCAGTGGAAAGTGTCGTACAGCTGGTTGCGATTATGTTCTCAACTCCACAGCAAAGTCTGGTGAGATCACACCTCAAGTGTAAATGTAATATCCAAAGGAAACATTTTTGTGGATGATTAACACTTTCTAGCAGGTCTCCCCCCCTTTTGTATCTCCCCCAAGCTATCCTTATGGATTCCTCAAAACCCAGGTACCACACCAGACTCTATTAAATTATGAGTGGCTATCAGGTACCAGTACCACAATCTGGTCTGCTCATTAGAGACAAGGGAAGTCTGGGGTTACCAGACTACTGCAGTGACAATGGGGAAAAACCAGCATTGATTTATGCATTATGATTTCTTTTCTAATTATTATTATTATTAGTTTTTGTAAAGTAAGCATTTCTAGAAAAAATTATATAATGAGTTGGGGCTGTTTGGGATAGGCCTGTACAAAGACAATCTGTGCTGATGAAATTAAATTACAGTAATTCTTATATTTTTACATAAAAGGTTAGTCTCTTCTTACACATGTGCTACCATATACATTTATTTGCTTCTTTCAGGACATCTTGATTTTACTAAAGTAAAACAAATAATAAAGTATAAAATCCTAAACAGTAGAGTACTAGGTGTGTGATTTAACACAGTGGACAAAATTAAAACAAGTCAAATTTGGTTGACATTAAGAGTGCAGGTAACCTGTCAGGGGCGCCTGACAGCTGGGTGGACACTGCTTCAGATTTGTAGTCCTGAGGTTCCGGGTTCGATTCCCGGTGGAGGCGGAGATAAATGGGCAAAATGTTTCTCTTACCCTGATGCCCCTGTTACCTAGCAGTAAATAGGTACCTGGGAGTTAGACAGCTGCTACAGGCTGCTTCCTGGGGGGTGTGTAACAAAAAGGAGGCCTGGTCGAGGACTGGGCCGCGGGGACGCTAAGCCCCGAAATCATCGGGGCTTAGACGGATACTTAGATGTACTGTACCTATCTAACAAGGGCTAATATTTCTGCTTCTATCTTGGCCAGATAGAAGGGCTATGGCCAAAGGCTAATATTTCTCCTTGTATCTTGGCCAGATGTCTGTGGTGTGTGTAATGGGGACAATTCAACTTGCCAAGTGACTGCAGGGTCCGTCGAGACGTCTCTTCCGTATGGGTACACAGACATTGTCACCATCCCTGTGGGTGCTGCCATGATAGAGATCACCCAGCAGTCCTATCACGACCAATCCACTGATGATAACTACCTCGGTAGGTACAGTATTCCAGTTTCTGATTTCAAGCTTTTTCAAGTTGAATTCTCCACTTTTTGAAAATTTAGCTTATGTGGTTTATTTGTTTCAAGTTTGTTGTGGGCAGAAATTATTCACTGTTAAAAGACAAAAATAATTATTTATTTCTAACAGTGTTTGAGAAAAATGGCTATTTATATAAAATAAGATGTACTAAATATCAACAGTTACTGTATTTGTAAGAAGCTGTTGTAAATGTATAACATTTACAACCTTCTGTAAAAGAAGGTTGTAAATGTACATATCTGTGATTTATTATTTACAGCACTAGTTGATCCAGAAACCGGAAAATACTTGATAAATGGAGGCTCTGTTGTGATTCCCTTCCCTAAGTTGGTGGCATTTGGGGGGACGCTGTTGGAGTACTCTGGCTCTAGTTCTGTCACTGAACGCATCAACTCGACTAAACCTTTACAGAAAAAACTATTGGTTCAGGTCTGTAAGACTTTTGCTAATATATTGTACTATATAATTATATGTTTAGAATTTTGAATAATACATTTATTATATTATATTTTCTGACAAAAAAATACAGTCATTGCTTTGCAAAAAAATTTCAAAATTGGAGAGCATCTTAAAATAGAAAGCCAAGATGGCAGTTACTTTTAAATGACCTCACATTACATCATAAGTTACCACCACCAACACCATAATCTCATAATAGGTTTAGATAAACAATAGTAATTCTTAATTTGACATTGATAAACTCTTTATACCATATTTCTGAGGGTGCTTCGAGCTGGAGATTCACTCCCCTTTGTTCCTCTGGGGGTAATTTTAGCACAGATCATTCTTCATGTCTTCCCAATCGTCTGGCATGGAACATTCCAGACGCCAGAGCTGAAACATGGTTCTGCCTCTGTGTCTTCATATGAGGCTTCCAGAGCTGGGTAGGGGCCTGAGGAAGGTCTGTTGGTGTCCTTTAACCCCTTTTATCTCTGGTGCCCTCTGCAGAGGATTTTTCACTCTGGGCAGAAAATCTTGCATATCCTCCATTGATCTTTAAAATTGATTCATCAGCTACTCATCCCCATGTGCATCTTATTTGTGGAGGTTTCTGTTGTCCCTTTTCTTCTGTTGAAAGCACCTCTGGCTCCCCAAAGCTATACTGGGCTGATGTGTATATATATTAGATTGGCAACAGTCAATTAATAGAGTTTTTAGCCTACCGGGGACCCCAAGCCAGAACCTGTCCCCCACAGAGAAGAACAAGGAGCAATTGCCTATAGGCACCACCGTGTAGTTGGAAGCAGTCTATGGGCCATATTCATGAAACAGTTATGCAAGCACTTACGAACCTGTACATCTCTTCTAAATTTTTGGCGGCTTTGTTTGCAATTATTAAACAGTTAATGAGCTCCGAAGCACTAGAAGGCTGTTTATAACAATAATAACAGTTGATTGGGAAGTTTTCATGTTTGTAAACTGTTTAATAAATGTAACCAAAGCCATCAAAGATTGAGGAAAGATGTACACATTCGTAAGTACTGTACTTGCGTAACTGCTTCGTGAATCTAGCCCTATGTCTGCCATCTACCAGGTTAGGCACCCAAGAAGATAGGAATCCTAAAACAAACTACAGCTGTTTAAAAATTGCATACCAAAAGCCAAACATGCAAGCAGAACTCCCCAATCAGAAAACAAGCAAGCAAACATGATGTCACTACAGCCGCCGTGCTGCTGTCTGCGCAGCTTCCCCCTCCCCGGGAGGGGGGAAGCGGGAGCCAGACCTTCTGTGCCGGCTACATAACCCCAGTTCTGAGGCTGTTGTGTTGGGTGGCAGTTGATCAACTCTGGCTCTATTTCTTCAGCAGTGCTGTGCCTTGTAGTGTGGTGGTGTGCGAGTTAGGAGTAATTCCAGAAGTACAGAGGCTGCATGCATATAGGGTCACCTTCCCTGGGTGCTCCTATAAGTACTGCCTTGCAGTTTGGGGTTGCCTTCCACAAATTGTTCGGGGACTATCTCTGCAGGGTTCTTTTGCTGCTCAGTGATTGCCTACCCTTGGGGTCAGCTGGGGTTCTTTCCTATCCTTGTTTGGCCTTGGGTAGGAGGTAGTATCGTCGCTAGCTGGGGCGCAAAGCACTGTGCAGCTGTCGTAATATGCATAGCGGCTGGTTCTGTTCCTCCTGGAGACGTTGTGCTTTTGCGGGGTGTTTCTTTTGTTTTGTTTTGTTTTGACTGGTGGGGGAGTCTGTTTGGTGTGGCTGTAGGACCACTTGTATTATTTTGGTGGCCCTCCGCTAAGTCCCCGTGATTGCACACGTTGTAGGGCTTCAGATTTTTTTGTTTGGTAGTTCTGGGATAACTGTTTAGCAGTACCTTACCTGGGCTTCCCTTAGCAGTCAGCTTAAGGGCCTTGGAAACCCTCATTGGGGCTCATTGGACCGATGGATGTACAGTGGTGATCTCTGATGCCCAGGCTACATGCACTTTGCTTCTTTGAGAGGGAAACAGATTTTGACCTGGTTCTCTGTAGGCCCTCATGGGCCTTGCAGCAATAGGGAGCTAAGGAGTGGGCCCTCCCAGAAATATTGTATGACAAAAAGTAAATACTGTAATGTTAACAAAGCATGTAAATCAATATTATTTTGTTATCGTTACCTTCTTTTGGACTTGCCTGAAATGCTGATCGTACAGTAGTTAGTGGTTTCAAAAAATGTAAAATTAAAATGTACATTTTATCCCCATAGCTTTATTACATATTGTTTATAAATAAAAATGTTTCAGTGTTTAATGAACACTTTATTTCAACAGATCCTGTCAGTGGGTGATTTGAACCCCCCCAACGTTGTGTATAGTTACACAAAATCTAACTTGCATTCTGACCCAAATTATTATTACTGGCAGTTGAAAGATTGGAGCAATTGCACTGAGCCTTGTGTTGGTAAGTAAAAAAGAATAAGTTTATCATTAAAACAGTGAGAGTTGTAGTTTATCTGAAATAAAAATTATTAGACATAACCTGTAGGCTGACTAATGCTTGTTTGACTCCTCCAGAAAGCCAGCATTGAATGTAATTAAATGCCGCCTCATGGTTGGGCCTTGGTGTCTCCCTTTATCCCCTCCCCCTCTTCTAGGTGCATCAGTAGGTGGTCTTAGGCTCCAAATGTCATAGTGTTGACACGAGATCCGTAGTGTTGTCGTAGAACCTGGGATGCTGTCACTTGTGCGTTGTCAGTTGTAACTAGTGGAGTTCAACCCAACTACTGATTGGAACATTTGTGGAGATGTTTACTGCTTCAAATCTGTTTGTCTGTGAACCTTGCCATTGTCTGTTTTGCTTCACTTATTTTCTGGATGTTTTCTTTGGTGAGGGTGATGCATTTCATTAAATTCAATGTTATTTTTCTTACAAGTTTCTTTTTTTGGGCCAGGCAAACGTAAACGGACAGCATACTGTGTGCGGGCAGACACTGGACAGGAGGTGAAGGAGGAGTTGTGCTCTTCACATCAAAAACCAGAAACCCAGCAGGAGTCTTGTGCTCATACTTGTCCTGTCTTTTGGGCATACAGCGACTGGTCTAAGGTAACTTTTGAGATATAATAATGCAAAAAATTTAAAGTGTCTTAATAGGTAAACTAATTAATAAAGCTATTTCTCCTTCTGCATTTACAAGGTTAGTTAGGAACATAGAAAAAGGAAATTGCAGGAGGTATATTGGCAAACATAAAAGACGTTGGTCTAAAGTTTGTTGTCAGCACTCATTCCTCCTCTGGCCACTGATTGAGAGCTGCTGCTTTTTCATTATGCTCAAAGAACAATTCTGTTTCCACTGAAACAAACAATGGGATATCTGTTGACCAGACCACACACTAGAAGGTGAAGAGACGACAACGTTTCGGTCCATCCTGGACCATTCTTAAGTCGATGGGATATCTCATTCTTGAATTCTATTTTTATCTGAATGATACCCATTAGCCACAGCCTCTGTTATTGCACTTTATATCTTTTGTTTAACAATTTGCCTGTTTGATTCAATCTCCATCTGTTTAGTCTTTCCTTTTCCATTTTTAACTCTAGCTACTGTAAGCTGCTCTGCTCCTTGATTTCATGAATCCAAGTCTTCTCTTTTCTTTTCTTTTTACTCCAGCTCATAAAGACTAGTTTCTTATTCAGTTTTAGTTTTCTCTTGATCATTCTTCATCTGCAGCTCTAGGTTTCAACTCGTCTAGCTGGAACTGCCTTTCTTTGTCTTCTACTTTTCCTCTTTCTCTTCTAGCTGCAATTGAATGTCCATCTGGCACCATTCAAAGCATCTGCTCCTGCTACATTTTTGCTTGTATTCCTTTTACCTGTGCCTGGGAACAGTATCTCGTCTGTATCATCATCGCTACTATGCTTCCCAGCTCCTTCTACTTAAGTTACATGCCCTGCTTGAGAATGCAGCTCCAGCATGAAACACCCCTCCCACACTTTGTGAAGTATAAACTAGAACTTGAGAACGTTCAGAGGTTTGCAACTTGATTAGTACCAGAATTGAGATGCCTCAGTCATGAGGACAGGTTGAGAGAACTCTCCTTCACAACATTATAGAAGAGAAGAAACAGAGGGGATATGATAACTATGTACAAGATCTTGAGGGGGAATAGATTAAAAGGATAAAAAACTGTTTAAATTGAAAAGAGGTATGACATGGGGACATCGGGGGAAGCTGGAGAGGCAGTCGAGTCAAAGAGATGTAAGGAAGTTCTCATTATCTGTATGAGCGGTAGGCAAGTGGAATGCATTGAAAGAAGAGGTTGTTCAAGCCAATTCCATCTGCAATGTTAAAGAAAAATATGATGAAAACATAATGTTAGGGGGGTAATTATTCATAATGATTTTGGAAAAAAAGAATTATACCTAAAACATTTAATCTCCTCACACTGACTTTCAGATTTATATTTATACTATTGATAATTCAACACAAGTATTAGTAACAAATAACACTATGACTTAAATTGACATAGTTTCTAATTAACGTGGAAATGAAACTATGATGTGGCTCCTAATGTTATTTTTTTCCCCTCACTATGACTTAACTTAATTTTGCAGTGTGAACTGAAGGGCGAGCAGTGTGAGCGGGAGCGTAAGGTTGTTGGTTGTGTTTCCAGCCTGGGCAATACTGTGGAGACTGAGCGTTGTGAAGCTGACCAACTGGTCACACAGAGAAACTGTCCTCGTGAAGAGTGTGCAACATGGAGTTATTCTGAATGGTCTCCGGTTAGTATTATAACTTGACATTTATCACCATACTATAGCAATACCAGAAAGTTTCCATATTTAACTTTTTCAAATGATTAAACACCAGATAAATATTCAGTATTGAATATTAACACTGGCAGTCCAGTGGTCCTCCGTGCATGTATGTAGGTATACAAATAAACATGTATATATATATATATGTATATATATATATTTGTTTTTATTCTGGATGTACTGTATATATAAATGTAAATAATAGCATGCATCTTTCACGCATCTAAATATTCAGATGCAATCTTATTACACATGTATTTTTTGTGTGTGCAGTGTTTATGTAAGGATGGTGATACTGTGGGTGTTCAGCGCCGGCCATACTACTGTCAGCTGCGGCAACGTCCGCTGCCGAGCTGGGAATGTGAACAACTTGATAAACCCATACATATTCGTAATTGTTCATGTTGGTTTGCTGAGGAATGGAGCTCTGTGGTACGTTTTTGTTGTCAGTGTTTCTGAGCATTGTACAAATAGTATTGAATAAATAGCTCCCAGAGCACCTGAATGGGGTTCTGGGAGTAGAAGAACTCTCAGGACCTGATCCAGGTACAATCCAGGTAGCATATTATCAAATAATAAATTGGTTTAACCCCTAACGTACTGTGAAGGATTTACATGCACATCCTATGTAACAAAAAAAATGAAGAAAAAGTCTTCCAGTTTGTCCAAATTCCATAATACCGATTTCTACTTTCTAATTGTGTTGTACATCGGTATATGCCTTATTATCATCATTGTTTCTATAAGTACTATTAAAACAGGAGGCTGGGCTGACCCATCACAACCTTAGAGGAGAGAAGAGACAAAGGGGATATAATAACTATGTTCAAAATCTTTAGGGGAGTAGGTAAAGGAAGCCTATTTAAATTAAGAAGAGGTAGGACAAAGGAATATTGGTGAAAGCTGGACATTTAATTGAGTCAGAGAGATGTAGGGTTACAGTAGTTCTTGTTCCTTGTATGGGTGGTCAGCAAGTGGAATGCACGGAAGGAAGAGGTTGTTAAAGCCATATCCATCCCCTAATTTTAAAAAGAAATAAGTTGAAAATGTTAATGTTTAGAGGCAATTACCATGCCAAGTATAAAAGGCTGATAGGTGGGGGATAAAGTGCTAGATCTTAGTCCCCCTGTAGTCACTTAATATGTAAGCATTACCACTCCTGACTATTAACTCCTTCCTGTTCATCTCCTTTTATATTTCTACCTTGACACCCCCCTTTCTGCATGTTCAACCTCTCGCCACAGTGTCCCCCTCCCTACCACTCCCTGTACATATTACTGGCCTGTATATATTACATCAGCCAATACTCTTTGCACCAGTCTATACTCATTGCACCACCCTGCTTTTTTTATATATATATATCAGGCAGGGAATACCTTTCTGGATTGTCCCCATGAACAATGGGAAGTTAGTTGAACAACAACTAGATACCTATTACTTCTGCACTGATAAAGGCTTTCATGTCATTGATGTCTCCAGTTAGTGTTTTTCTGTTTTATGGATACTTTGTGTCAATGTGAATGTAAATAGAATACCTCAATCAATTTGGTTTTCTCTAGTGTGACCTGGAGGGCCATGATGATACCATTGTTGGAGGCAGCTTGTCTAACTGTGGCACTGGTGTGATGCAACGACGTGTCTTCTGTGGCGCTCCATCAGATGACATTCCACTCAGTGACTGCAGTGCCCTGACCAAGCCCCCTGAAACTATCCCCTGTCACATCCCATGCCAGTCTACAACCACAGCTCCACCACCCATTCCAGTCACCACTGAAGGTCTTCCTACATCTTCTACATTAACAGTTTCTGTTACAAACTCACACACTGACAACTCCTCTTCACTGAAAAAGGTAATATTCTGCTTCTCTAGTTTTGTGTTGGCCCTCATTAATGAGCTGTGATTTTAAGCTTGAAATAATGTGCTTGAATTACAAATGTAATTTTTAAATATATACAGTACATACAGTACTCTACTGTAGTACATACAGTTTGCAAAGCATCGTTCTAAGCACCCACTCATTTGCCAACAGTCTACTTTCTGCAAGTGTCCCCATAGTAGGTACTTTGTGCTTAAGTCTCAAGCCAGGAAGCAATATTTTGTACTAATCATCCATGGGCATACAAAACTAAAAAAAAGTTTGTATTGTTAAGAAAGCACCAAGGAAGTATAAATGTTATAAAGTACATTCTGTACGTACTTTGGTTTAGCTATAGTGGAGCCTTGAAGATCTCAGTTTTTTCTAACTGGATGGTGCAGTGGCAGGCAGTGGTGCTCAGCCACAAATGATGAGGTGGGAGGTACCACGTAGCAATTTCTCTTGCCCATTCTTTCTTTATTTTTTTGCTTTTGTGTGGTCAAGTAATGTACAGTACAGTATTGGGGGTGTCACTATTGATATAAATTTGTTATAACATGAGAAGTATATGTATAATTATCTAAATGTAGTTATAGGATGAGAGCTACACTCGTAATGTCCCGTCTTCCCAGTACTTTTTGTTATGTAACGCTTCGAAACTATGGATGGTTTTGGCATCCAGTGCCTTCTCAGTTAACTTGTTTTAACCATCTGAGAGACTGTTTGCAAACTAAAACTTTCTTATATTTTGTCAGCACCATGGTTTCCTTAGTTTGAATCTATGAATCTTTTGTTTTTAAAGTTGTAGATTTAAAGAAATGTCTCGTCTATTTTATCGACTCCTGCTGCTATTTTGTATGTCGTGAGGAAGCTGCCTCTTTTCGTTCTAACTTCCAGCCTCAGCATGTTTAATGCCTCCAGCCTCTTCTCATAGCTCATGTTCTTAAGTTCCAGGAGCCATTTAGTAGCATGTGTTTCCACCGTTTCTAATTTATGTGCTTTGTTAGATATGGGCACCACACCACACCACACCACTGCTGCACATTCCAATTGTGATCTCACAAATTGCATGAACAGTTTTTTTTAATATTTCTTTGGCCATATATTTAAATGTGGTTCTGAAATTTGCTAGCATATCATATATGCTATAGGCTCTTCTCACAATTGCCCTGTGTATGGTCCTCTTTTGATGGCTTACTATTCCAAACCACTCCTAGATCTCTTTCCTTGTCAGAAATTTTTAATATATTTTCACAAAATTTGTTGGTTAAGTCTGGCGTGTTTTCCACTATTCTGCATTTCATTATGTGACATTGATTTATGTTGAGTTCCATCTGCCTTTTGTTGTTCCACTGACTTATTTTGTCTAGGTCATTTGAGAGGCCAATACAATCATGGAAATCCCTGACTCTCCCCAGCAATTTTGCATCATCTACAAACATATTTGTGTAACTCTGTATTCCCTTTGATAAATCATTTATGTACATAATAAACATTCCTGGTGCAAGAATTGAACCTTGAGGACTCTGCTGTGACATCTCTCCAGCCAGATATAATAATTCATTGTGTCAGGCGACAGGCAGCTAGTTTATACATACAGTACATGTTAGGCTTATATCGAGGTCCTCTCCCAGGGTTGAATTACTGACTTTCTTCAGGATGTAACCCCACAACAAACTAACTAACTTCTGGGTCAGGACATGTGTCCTGCCTGGGATTCGAACCTAGGATTCTTGATTTGTGAGTCGAGAGTGAACCCAACTGCACTAACAAGATTGCCATTGATCACTGTTCACATTTGTTTGATAACAAATTTATCATCCAATTTAGAAGTCTGCCTGTCATCTCTCCAATGTGTTTTAACTTCCAAAAGTCTCTTATGTGGAATTCTGTAAAAGTTTTTTAATCTTAGTGTATACTATTGCCCCAGCCTTCCCTTCTTGTAAGATTTCTGTGGCTGGGTGAGCCCCAGTGGCTCCCTGATCCTCTTCCTCTCTTCCAAATCATTTCAGGGTAGCGACCAGGGCTCGTCCAGAAATTTGTTTTCATTACGTTCAGTGCTTTTTTTTTTCTTTTAAGTGCTTACTGAAACATCCTTCATTCTTTACACAAATTCTTGTTTCTTATTGCAAGCAAGTGATAGCTGTATCACATGTGTTAACCTGTCCAAAATACAGAATTCTCAATTCTTTTTTCATTTCTCTCTCTTAACACCTTCAATAGTTAAAGAAAATAAAAATTGAATGACAAAATTCTTCTTAAGACTATTCCTTTAAGGGAAAAGAATTCCAAGAAGATAGATATAACTTAATAATTTTCTTCATTGATAATTAATAAGTGAATTTAATTGATAAATAAATAGTTTTTATAAATAACTTGGAAAAATCTGTTTTCAACTCACTTATACTGAAATTAACAACTACCTGTAATTATTAATCAAGATATGCAGTATGACAGGCACTAAACTTTATTACATTTTTATATCTGCTATCTACAACTTGCCTCTTTAGAGGAAGGGTGGCAAGGAGCAGAACCAGCACAACTCTCTAGACACCCCATTCCATAAACACAAGAGTAATGGAGACATATATACTGGTGGTTCATCTTCGAGACAGCCCCATCATCGTGGAAATCAGCAGAAGGTGACATGGACACAAGGAGGTAATATTGGAGTGAACCATGGGCAAGAAACTAATGAAATCTCCAATGCTCTCCCAAGTAGCCTTGATGAAAGGGAGAGAAACAGCCGAAATGACTTTTCTGACAATCGCTTAGATACCACAAGACACCATAATGATTATAGTAGAGAAAGAACCAAGAACTCCAACCGCCATGCATCTCATCAGTGGGACCAACATCGTAGCAGTGAAGAAGAGAGTAATAATGTGGTGCAAGAATACGATCCACTTATAATTGATAACGAAAACCACAACACAAACTGGCAAACTGGTGGCTGGAGTACGGTAAGAACACAAATAATTTAGATAATTGGAAATTCAGTAATTCCAATTAAGAGCAATTTAATTTTAAAGTTTTGAGTAAACCATATTTTATGAATTTTTTATTTTTTTAATTCAAAATAGAGGTGAGCCGGTATATTGTAAACACTTTTTGTTAAAAAAAATGTGCGTAAAATCAGGTATTATAGGCAGATCTGTTTGAATTGTGACATAGTATAGCTAAACTTCTTGACTAATTTGACTGTGACATTTAAACCTCTACATTATTATACTTCTTTTCTGGTAAATATAGTATCAAACATTGAAGGGAAATATCATTCTTTTACACTCACAAGCTTTTTTACATGCTGTGCATAAATGTGTCCAGAATGAGAGTTACAAATTGGACTGCCCATACCTCATTTTGATTTTGTCATAAGCCTCCCAGTTCATCAATTATAGATTAAAATCACCTAGAAGAAGAGAGCTGTTTATGATATTTCTGATACTTCTTGTTACAATATTTATGTAAAATGAAGCATTACAAGTTAATCTGTTTAAATTGTGCTATAATACAGATAAATTTCTTTGGAAGTTTGGTCGAGAGTTTTAATGCTCAGCATTGGTAAATCTCAGAGGTATTAATAATTTAATGAGGTTGTGTAAGTTGTCACCGAAGTAAAATTTGAAGAGGTAGTTATGGATATTTGGAAGATATTTTTTGTAATATAGGAAGATATGTTTTGTGTATGGTTTTAAGTGAATTATGTTGTATAATGAACAATATTTCTGGGTGACTACCCCTCAGTAGTTCCCCATAGCTTGCACTCTGGGGTGTAGCCAATCCTTGAGCAGTGCACCAGGCCTTTGAGACCCATACTACCAGGTGCCAGGACTAGAATGCTGCTCTCAGTGAGATGATGTGAGCCAATTTTCACTAGTATCATGACCTGTTTATGTAGTAAATTGGAAAATAACTTTGAGTACTATTCACAAGGCCTACTAGCTTGGGTGGTGCTTGTCCCACTGATAAGGTGTTCTCCAGTTGCATTTCTGTCTGTGTTCTCATGGGGGATGGCACTTGCTCTTCTCATTTGCATTTCTGCTGCTGCAGCAGCATTTGGGGCTTGTTTTGCCATACTGTACTACTTGTGCTCTCTCTGAAGTGACCTCATGTCATTGCCCCTTGTGTTGCTGCTCAGTCTTCCCTGGCAGATGGTTAGGAGGTCTGAGCTTTTCTGGGGTTGGGGTTCCCAACCCCAGAATCCAGAAAGGTCCACCAGTCGGTGGCAAGAAAATAGTTGTGAGTAGAGGCAGTAGAGGATGTCCCTTCCTCATTAAGAAAATGTGTGAAATATGAGAAAAACTGCAAAGTTTTGTTGAAAAAACTCACACAGATAAAGCTGTAGCAGGTCATTGCATTGACCTTTAAAATGACAATGTGATGTCTCACTGCAGACAAGTGTTAAAATGTAGGGAAAAATAAGTGTCTTTTAACAGATTCTTAGTAAGACAAGCAAGCAATGAGCCACAACCAGGTCCTAATGGTAGGCCTGCAAAACGTAAGAGAGAGAGTGTACCCCAGAGAAGTCATCACTGCCTTATGTTATAATGAAAGGGGGACTCCCCTTCCAAACAGTAACACAACTCCTCCTCCCCCTCTCCTTACCGTCTTCCATACACCAACAAGAGTCTTCAATAAAGGCAAGATATACATACTATATTGTAGCTAGCATAAAAAGAGTAGTATTCGATATAAAATGTATTTTTAAGTTAATATTTTTGGGGGTATGGAACGGATTAATTCAATTTAAATTATTTCTTATGGGAAAATTTGTTTCGAGTTACGAATTTTTGAGTTACGACCCGTGTCTGGGAACAAATTAGATTTGTAAGTGGATTTGTAGCGGTATTCATTTTTTCCTGATATCAGAAACAATACTAGTGCCTATATCAAACTCCTTGGCAACACTCACAACCACCCAGCCATTTTCAGATTTCTAAAACATGTAACGTGTCCTTAATTGTTAACTCAACCTTCTTCATCTTTAACACCTCCAGAGCGATTGCTGCTGCTACCAGACAATCTTGGCAAAAAAATGATCAACGTTACTATGAAAACAAAAAAAAGTTATTTAAGGAAATATTTCACTGATGGCGCAGCACTGTGGTATAACACGGGGGATAGTGAGCTCGGGGCTATTTAGCTTGACCAGGCCTCGATGGGTCAACTTGGGGCAGGCAGGCATGTTACATAGGCCACCAGGTGGAAAACAATTCTCCAGATTTTAGGAAGAAGCTACAGTCTTCAGCCTGTGCACATAATTTTTAAGAAATTTGTATTTGTTATAATATTACTTTAGTTTTTACTGTGATGAATTGTTCTAAAATTATTATTGGTTATTGTATACAATACAGATTATAGGCCCCTCCACATGCCCCATATTCCCCAGGCAGTCCCTCCAAACTCTTCCCTCTCTCCTGACACCCCTAAGCCACGCACCACTAAACCTCCCACCCCAACACTACCTATACCACGTGCCTCGACCCACAGTCGTACGGGATTAATAAGGTATGGCCCATTGCCTGACTTCCATATCTGGGAAAAATCTCCGGTTGTCCGGATTTCAGTCCTGATATGGACAAGCAGGTAGAAAGTGATCCAGGTTTTATTTAAACTCTGCCTGTCTATTTGTATTCGAACAAACCTCCGGTCATTTGAATTCTATGGACATTTGTTTGGATAAAATTATCCAGATGCAATTTTATCTGAATGACCCTGATATTTGGTTTAGTGGAATCCGGATTATTAAGCTCATATAGTATTTAAACATTCTGATATTACACTTTTTATTTTATTTATATATACTGTACAAGAGTTCTTACATTCTTGTATATTTTATTATACAGTATATACACCAGTACAGTATATATTTATAAAAAAAGTGCACTGTTAAATAATAATAATGCAAAAAGCCAGATACAAAATAGATCAGAGGCATTGAGATAAATATGTAAATGTATCATTGAGGTGACTCCTGTCCCACGCACGACCCGAGGCAACCACCATAAACGATTGCACCACGAACACTTGTGAATTGTGATGCCATAGCAAGATTTCCGAGCTTCACCGCAGCCAAAGTAAGTCACACAACTGTTTCATATTTTTCCTGTAATCATGGAATGCATTTTAACAATATTAGAAAGAAAAATATATGCAATACAGAGTATTAGAAAGTTAAAATATGCATTTTAATAAGACAGTATTAGAAACAAAAAATATTAGAAAGAAAAAAATTTCTTTGTGAACTCTGGGAAGGATGTCAACTATAAAAAGGGGGCACAGTGTAGGGGGTTAAAAAGGGGGTTACTGAGGTCCGAATTAGTGATCTTCTACCATGTCTGTTTTTCGTATGCGTTTAACATTGTCATCTATTGTAAAAGTGCTTGAATTACCATATGTAATTCATATGTCAAGTGTTCAATCACCCACATTCCAATGATGTGTAATAATTATCTAATACTGTTCATTGAGGGCAGATAAAGTATATACAGTATGCTGGTTTGCATTGTAACTCAAAGAATACACTTTTGGTAGAAAATGACCTATCAAAGTTAACACTATCGCACACGGTGCGGGCGCTCCGCAGACTCTGACGTCATGCTCTCGACGGTGCGGGTGAGCGTGTAGTGACACCGAAATGTGTATACTCTTTTCAGTTTTCTCACCTTAATTCTCGTGCTACGTCGTTTGTTTTGGTATCATTGTGTTCGCAATATAATTCCCTATAGGGGTACTGTATATGCATATAAGGTCCAAAAGCCCGCCATGACTCCCCACAGCAAAGCCTAAAGTCGGCAAAGTTACCCGTGAGTGTGCAAAATCAGGAAAATGTGTATACTCGTTTCAGTTTTCTCACCTTATTTCTCGTGCTACGTCGTTCATTTTGGTATCATTGTGTTTGCAATAGAATTCTCTACAGGGGTATATGCATATTAGGTCTAAAAGTCGGTGTGACTCCCCACAGCAAAGCCTAAAGTTGGCCAAGTTACCCGTGAACAAGCACCAATTGGCACTCCTGCAGACTAATGTATATACTCGTTCAGTTTAATAACATAAATTTTCGTGTTACTTGTTTCATTTTGGTATCAAATTGTTTGCAAAATAAAGGCACATATTTTAAAACTAGTCCCATAATAATTGAACAATAAATGGAATTTTAACAAATATTTTAACTTTTGGTTTTTCACCACAAAATTATTTATATATTTCCAGTGTTCTGACAACAGTTTTTGTGTTACGTCTTTCATTTTGGTATCAAATTGTTCGCAATATAAGGGCACATATTTTAAAACTAATCCCATAGTAATAGAACAATAAATGTAATTTTAGCAAATATTTTCAAATTTGGACCCCAAAAGTATTTATTATCTTTTCAGTGTTCTGACATTAATTTTCATGTCACGTCTTTCATTTTGGTATAAAATTTTTTGCAATATAAAGGCGCGTATTTTAAAACTAGTCCAATAATAATAGAACAATAAATGGAATTTTAACTTTTGGACGCTTATCACCACAAAATTATTTATATATTTCCAGTGTTCTGACACCAATTTTCGTGTCACGTCTTTCATTTTTGTATCAAATTTTTCGCAATATAAAGGCTCATATTATAAAATAAGTCCATTAATAATAGAACAATAAATGGAATTTTAACATATTTTAACACTTTCGCGCTCTCGGCGCTCAAAAAAAACCAATACCCCAGATGCTTTCGGCACTTCGCGCGCCTACGCAGTAAGACCGAAAAAGTGTACACTCTTTTGACTGTCCTGACAATAATTGAAGGCGCACGTATTTAAATTTGGTATCACTGTGTTCGCAATGAAATTGTCTATAAGAGCATACCTATAAAATGCCGCCCAAGCATAAGGAGTATCAACACCAAATAAAAAACTATGCAGATCACTCGCCGAGAGCGCCAAACAGCAATAAAATGTTTCCACTCTCTTAATGGTTGCGAAGCCTACAGTTGTCCTACATCGCTAATTTTGGTATCATTGGAATCGCAATAAAATTCTCTACACGGACATATGCATATGAATGTTTAATATAGGTAATTGCCCACCCGCAAGAGTGTGTGAAGTGGAGAGTAGTTAGCCGCGAGCGCACTGGCGAAAACACGGGGGAAATCATGCTTGGAAATTTTATACGTTTCCTGACCCTACTTTTCTATGTACGTATTTCTTTTTTATACCAATGTGTTCGCAATAAAATTTTCTATAAGATGAACTGTATAACATTTGTACAAAGCATGTGTAAGAGAAGCGCCAAATATAGAACCACGTCGCTCAGTATGCGTTCGCGGCAGAAACGAACGCATTGTTTTCGTTCGTTTGATGTTTGTCATGTTTATACTTGTTGAAACATTTTATAATTTGTATGACAGTGATCGCAGTAAAATTCCCTACACAGACATATACATAACACATACAAATATTTCCCACGTGTTGGATATATCAACGGCTAAAGGGAACCCACTGCCACACGCTCGCCACACCCCCAAACATACTTTGTGTATTTTTTTTTTTACTCATAGAAGTTTATGTGATATAATATTCATTCTGGTACCAAAAAATTCGCAAATAAATTCTCTACAAAACAAAAGTATCCCCATCCATTTCGGTTAAAAAATGGAATTTATAGAAATATTTTTTCGATGGACGAGAAAAGTAGGCTGTTATGCGGAATCGTAAGAAAAAACGGCGACGAGTTATCTCTAATCTAAAGCGCGAAAGTGTTAACTTTTGGACGATTTTGGACGTTCTTCACCACAAAATTATTTATATCTTTCCAGTGTTCTGACATCAATTTTTGTGTTACGTCTTTCATTTTGGTATCAAATTGTGCGCAATATAAAGGCGCTCATTTTGAGACTACTCCCAGATAGATCGGATTAAAATTAAAATTTTTAACAAATATTTTAATGAGTGACTCGAGTCCGAGTCTCGGTCACCCGAGCAGACTCGAGGAAAAATGAGTGACTACGGGGGGAGGCAATGGTGCGCGATAGTGTTAAGACATAAATATATTGATGTCCAAATAATTTTTTTAAGCTCATCTTATTCTTTCCAGTGTTCCCGAGACTGTGGTGGAGGAGAAAAACGCCGTCAAGTTGTGTGTATTGGACCAGAGTCATCCTGTCTGCCAAATGACCGCCCATTAGAGACTGCTCCATGTAATACTCAAATTTGTACAGAATGGTCCACAGGAGACTGGGGTCATGTGAGTGAACATAATATAAAAAGAAATATATATATATATATATATATATATATATATATATGTCGTACCTAGTAGCCAGAACGCACTTCTCGGCCTACTATGCAAGGCCCGATTTGCCTAATAAGCCAAGTTTTCATGAATTAATATATTTTCTCTAATTTTTTTCTTATGAAATGATAAAGCTACCCATTTCATTATGTATGAGGTCAATATTTTTTTATTAGAGTTAAAATTAACGTAGATATATGACAGAACCTAACCAACCCTACCTAACCTAACCTAACCTATCTTTATTGGTTAGGTTAGGTTAGGTAGCCGAAAAAGTTAGGTTAGGTTAGGTTAGGTAGTCGAAAAACAATTAATTCATGAAAACTTGGCTTATTAGGCAAATTGGACCTTGCATAGTAGGCTGAGAAGTGCGTTCTGGCTACTAGGTACGACATATATATATATATATATATATATATATATATATATATATGTCGTACCTATATATATATCATGAATAATGTTTTTTCGATATATATATATAGGTTCGGTCATATATATATATATAGCTTTATATTTCATAAGAAAAAAATTATATATATCAAGAAAACTTGGCTTATTATGCATATATATATATATATATATATATATATATATATATATATATATATATATAATAGTGTGACAGTGTCACCACACTGTCACACATTAGAATGTGTAACACCTGCATGTTGAGAATTAAATAACACTTTAGATATATTGTATTTTAATTCTACATAGCAGATAAATAGTTTGTAATGTGTTTCTTGGGAACAGTGTCATATCCGGCGTGAACGCCATCGATGTGGACGTGGTCAGCAGGAACGTCTAGTTGTTTGTCGAGACCCGAATGGCCCCCAACTGGATGAAAAAAGTTGCCATGCTGCAGACAGGCCCACTCACAGACGTGCCTGTAAGATTCCTTGCAATAATAGAAGACGAGGTCGGCAGCGGCAACGATACAAATGGAAATCTGGAGAATGGTCACCGGTAAAGTATCGCAGACAGCCATCCTCTCCAGACAGTCAAAATCAGTCTAAGAGGATTTATAAAATCAACAATGAAAATAATATCGTAAATAACCGCTTTAATAATTGTGGCACATCTAATTTCCAGTGCCCCATTACTAGTCATGCTATTACTCCACTACCACAGCTCACATTATCTCCAAACACCCACAAACCTCACCAGTCCTAATCTTCAATTGCTAACTTAAGAGAAAAAAATTTATTTTAAGGGATTTGTAAGTATTTCTATATTATTTCTATTAGGTCTATGACAGATGTTGTTTGCATCTCCCTGCAGGCTGACTGGACATATTATTAAGGTATAAGGAAAGAAAATGAGTAGAACATGTATTGGCTAAGAAATACTAGCCAACATCCAGCACATGTAGATTGAAACCAGTGGAGAGCTGGTATATTTTTATACTTTTCATTAAAATATTTTGTAAAAATTAGGTATATATATAAGCAGGCCTGTTTGAATTGTACCATAGTATAGCCAAACTTCATAGCTAGTTTTGATGTGATTTTTAAAGCTTTATTTTGATAAATCTTGGAGATGATGATATTTAAATGAGGGTGTAAAAATTTGTCACCAACGTTAAATTTGGAGGATAACTCCATAAATTTGGGAAATATGTTCCGGACGTAGAAATGAAATGTCTTGTGTTTAGGTGTCAGTTTTGTTACATAATAAACAATATTTATATATGAAATACATGTTTACTGTATCAGAAATACATCTTATTTCGGAAGTAAGAAATTTAGGGCCAATATGAATAATATTCAAAACAACTTTAGGCAACATTTCCATTGCATTTTGCAGGCCTAGCTACAGAAACTGAAAGAGTTTTTGTTTATAACAATATAAATATAACGAAATATAAATAAAAGATAAAGAACGGCCTGAATTACCAGAGGGCCACTATTTTTAGTGGCATCAACGGGACTAGGATGTTAAACGTTCTTGATGTTCACTCGAGTAATAGACTCGATTAATATTGATTAATATATCACTTGAAATGGCTTCTAATATATTGGTATATCAGTAAAGTCAGTATTTGAATATATATTTATTTATTTTTATTTGAATATACATCTCATCTTTCAAAAATGATAGTACTTATAAAAGCTGTTGGTCAAAACTACAAAAGTTAATTGTTGTACCCAAAAAGTTCACATTTTGTACTATTGCAATAATTTAAATTGCATAGTAAATAAGTGGAACAGTAATTATACAACATGATCTAACCTGTTCTGGACCTAAATAAGCAATTCTAGGCCTAATATATATATATATATATATATATATATATATATATATATATATATATATATATATATATATATATATATATATATATATATATATATATATATATATATATATATATATACACACACACAATGTTAGGCCAAAATTACCTATCTGTGCTATACTAGGCCTAGAAAAGTTTTGATTTAGTTCATGCCTTATATTTTGGTCCCCTCAACAAAATTATTAATAAAACAGTGACTTTTCTTGGGGTTGCAGTATATATATATATTTTTTTATATTTGACTAGTAGTTGCTGTATATACTATTACTTTTGGTGGACAGGTTGAAAATATTATATTGCTATAGCAAAAATACGTAAGGAGATGTGTCAGACATTTGTCTGGAACGTTCCTCTAGTACAAATTTGTACTCAGGATAGAAATGAATATAAACATCATTAAATTTTAATTAGACAATAATATGAATATATATCTTAAAGATTTATATATATATATATATATATATATATATATATATATATATATATATATATATATATATATATATATATATATATATATATATATATATATATATAACCTAACCTATGTCGTACCTAGTAGCCAGAATGCACTTCTCAGCCTACTATGCAAGGCCCGATTTGCCTAATAAGCCAAGTTTTCACGAATTGTTTTTCGACTACCTAACCTACCTAACATAACGTAACCTAACTTTTTCGGCTACCTAACCTAACCTAACCTATAAAGATAGGTTAGCTTAGGTTAGGTAGGGTTGGTTAGGTTCGGTCATATATCTACGTTAATTTTAACTCCAATAAAAAGAAATTGACCTCATGCATATTGAAATGGGTAGCTTTATCATTTCATAAGAAAACTATTAGAGAAAATATATTAAATCAGGAAAACTTGGCTTATTAGGCAAACCGGGCCTTGCATATTAGGCTGAGAAGTGCGTTCTGGCTACTAGGTACGACATATATATATATATATATATATATGTCGTACCTAGTAGCCAGAACTCACTTCTCAGCCTACTATGCAAGGCCCGATTTGCCTAATAAGCCTAGTTTTCATGAATTAATGTTTTTTTGACAACCTAACCTACCTAACCTAACCTAACCTAACGTTTTTGGCTACCTAACCTAACCTAACCTATAAAGATAGGTTAGGTTAGGTTAGGTAGGGTTGGTTAGGTTCGGTCATATATCTACGTTAACTTTAACTCCAATAAAAAAAAATTGACCTCATACATAATGAAATGGGTAGCTTTATCATTTCATAAGAAAAAAATTAGAGAAAATATATTAATTCAGTAAAACTTGGCTTATTAGGCAAATCGGGCCTTGCATAGTAGGCTGAGAAGTGAGTTCTGGCTACTAGGTACAACATATATATATATATATATATTATATATACAGTATTTTTTATTTATTTATTTATATATACAAGAGTTCTTACATTCTTGTACATCCACTAGCACGCTTAGCATTTCGGGCAAGTCCTTAATCCTGTGTTCTCCAGAATACGACCCTGCCAAATCGTTTAACAACCAGGTACCCATTTTACTGTTGGGTTAAACAGAGGCTACAGTTAAGAATTTGCGCCCAGTAAATCCTCCCCGGCCAAGATAAGAACCCAGGACAAAGCACTCTCGAAACGCCACGCATGTGTCTGCCCACTACGCCATGGGGACCCAAAAAAGTCACCGAGTGCTGTTGGGAATTGGGTTAATGGTCAGATGACTTCCAACTCTTTTTAGCAGTCAGCATGGCCTAGTGGTGAAAGTACTGGACAAGCCAAGGTGCATGGAGGCTCTGGCTGTCTGGGTTCGAATTCTTCAGAGGGTGAGGTGTTTTCTGTTGCATATTAACTTAGGGACCATTAAAGCCTGCCGCACAAATGTTACTCATGTGGCCCCAGCATGATGAAGGGACTTGATGAAATATCTGTCCCCATCTGAGCACAGATAATTGATATCTGAGCTTAGATATAAAATATCTCGGGTATCATCTATCTGGGCTTCCCCAGATGCTACATACTTTATCATCATCTTCGAGGTCGAGTGTCCCTACAAACGCAACCAGAGGTGGTACCCCCTATACATTAAAAAAAAAAATTATATATATATATATATATGATATAATATCTGTATATACTGTATATTATATATGAAAATAAATAATCATGAGGGAAAGTGAAACAAGAAATTAATTTAGTACGTTCGTGTATTTCTATTCCATGCAATACAAAGGAGACATATACTGTAGTCAGGAAAAGTTAGGTTACATGTGAAGTGAAAAAACAGTCTTTATAATAAGAGTTCATGAACATGAAAGGGTTCCAGAAAAGTCAATGAAGTATTGCAGACAACTGGACGGTTTACAAAAAAGCTTCAAATAGCTAAACAAATGAATCACACAGCATAATAGAATCACTCAAGGTAACCTGATTAATAAAATACTAAATTGCGTATAATATTTATTAACCTAAATTATATGGTCATAAAATATAATGAACATATAAAAATATATTAATCTTTGTACTGCGTGTTAGTTTAATATGACAATTCCATGGTGTGCATAAAAAAATTACTCGCCAGTTTTTTTTCTTATACAGTGATACCTTAGCTTACGAATTTAATCCGTTCCCAGAGACGGTTCGTAACCCGAAAATTCGTAAACTGAAGCAAATTTTCCCATAAGAAATAATGTAAGTTGAATTAATCCGTTCCACACTTCCAAAAATATTAACACAAAGTAAATTTTATAAATAATTCACCCAAATCTTTAGTACTAAAGTATGTACAAGTTATTGCTTACCTTTATTGATGACATGTTGGCGTATGGAAAATGGTTAGGAGGGGAGCGGGGAGAAGGAGGAGGAGAAGTGTTAGTGTTTGGAAGGGGAATCCCCTTCCATTATAACATCAGGCAGTGATGACTACTCTGGGGTACTCTCTCTCCTACATTTTGCAGAAGTACCACTAGGACCTGGTTGTGGCTCCCTGCTTGCTTGTCTTACTAAGAATCTGTCTAAAGACACTTGTTTTTCCCTACATTTTAACACTTGTCTGCAGTGAGACATCACATTGTCATATAAAATGTCAATGCAATGACCTGCTACAGCTTTATCTGGGTGAGTTTTTCAACAAAACTTTACAATTCTTCCCATACTTCACACATTTTCTTAATGAGATCCTCTACTGCCTCTACTCACAACTATTTTCTAAGGTTGAACCTTACCACTGACTTTCTAGGGACCCATGGCGAGATAAATATACTAATTACTTTTATGTTAAAACACCCAAAAATCTGAAAAACACTGAAATTCCTTACAAAGAATTCAGGTGCAATTGTCACTAGGCTGGAGTCACTGGTAAACTGAGGCGCAGTGTGCCATCACGCACTAGGTCGGTCATACGCGTATCAGCAAACTACATTACCCAAGGCAAAATTCGTAACCTGATTCAGATTTTATGAAGAAATTTGGCTCGTAACCCAAAAAGTTCGTAAACGGGGCATTTATAAGCCGAGGTGTCACTGTATTGTAAAAATCTCTTCCCTGATCACAGACATATAATACAAATGAAGAAATACCACTTAACTTGAATGCAATGAAATTGAGAAGTTGGTGTGTGATGTCAAAAAAGGAAGGATGCTCATGGTAGTCTCTCTCTAGAAGCTCTCCTTTTTTTTTTTTTTTTTTTTTTTTTTTTTTTTTTTTTTTTTTTACCCCATGGAATTCAAGAACGGCGAGTTGCCATAAATATTTATTTGTCATATTTAATACAATTTTTTTGTTTATTGTTTACCTTCTGCACATGTATATCATTTACGATTTGTAAAGAGAAGAACGTACATATTGTTCCAAGTAATAATTATACACACGTCACTAATGTGTGTACTAAAAATACTTGTCACAATATTGCTTATTAAATTTACTTTTTATTTACACACTATACACTATCTCACACTGTATTTTTCTCTATACTATACTGTATTACATACTCAGTACTGCACGAGTACTCAACTAATTGGGCTTGGAGAGGTTGAGCTTCAGCTCTTTGGTCCCACCTCTCGACTGTCAATCAACTGGTGTATAAGTTTCTGAGCCTATTGGGCTCTATCATATCTACATTTAAAACAGTGTATGCAGTCTACCTCCACCACATCACTGCCTAATGCAATTCATTTATTACCTACCCCTGACACTGAAAAAAATGATTTCTAATGTCTTTCTGGCTCATTTGCGTACTCAGTTTCCACCTGTGTCCCCTTGTTCGTGTTCCTCCCATGATAAATAATTAGTTTTTGTCCACTCTGTCATTTCCTCCGAAAATTTTGTTGGTGATCAAGCCTCTGACCAGGAGCCCTGGTCAACCTTGCTGCAGGGATGTTGATCCTTAGAATCACCACAAATTAAGGCAAGGCAGTCTTCATTGTGTGTGCTTGCAAACAGTGCAAGCACATTTACCCATGCTATGTGTTCCCATACTTGGCATGTAACCAAGCTTGTGTAGAGCAAAGCTGTATTTATGACCCAGACTGACCCAGTCAGTCTCCTTGTCAAAGACAAGGAGACTGTCTTTTACAGTCTCCTTGTAATATAGGGCTATAGAACACTGGTGGTTTTGGCATCCACTGCCTTTTCATTTGTTCACAAAAGAGAACTTTCTAATATTTTTTGCCACTATTGTTTCCTTAGTTAGAATCTATGACTTCTTGTTCTTGAAGTTGCAGATTTAAAAAATTCCTCATGTATATTATGTTGATTCCTGTTACAATTTTATATGTAGTGATCATATGGCCTCTTTTTATTCCTTTCCTTTGATCTTTTAGTCTTGGTATGTTTAACACCTCCAGCCTCTCTCTTTGTAATTCATGTTCTTGAGATCTGAGAGTCATTTAGTAGTACTGTACAGTATTATTTTGTATCCTTTCCAATTTGATTATATGCTTCTTGAGTTATGCACCACTGCTGCATTTTCCAATTTTGGTCTCAAATATTGCGTGAACAGTTTCTTTAATATTTTTCTATTCATATACAGTATTTAAATGTGGGTTTTTTAATTTGCTAGCTAGTGTAAGCTGCACTTACAATGTTCTTTATATGGTCCTCTAGTGACAGTTTGCAATTAAGAACCATTCCAAACTTTCTTTCCTTGTCAAAGGGTTTAAGTATCTTTTCACATATGTTGTCGATTAAGTGTGGCCTATTTTACCTCGCTCCACATTCCATTATGTGACATTTATTATTTTCTAATTCCATCTGCTTTGTGTTGCTCCATTCACTTATTTTACCTAAGTCATTTTGGAGGGCAAGGCAGTCATCTATGTCCTTGACCCATTCTTAACAAATTAACATCATCTGCAAAGATATTCATGTAACACTGTATCCCCTCTGGGGATACAGTGTTACATCATTTGCATAGATAATGAACATTATTTATGCAAATATATCATTTGCATAGATAATGAACATTTCAGTACCAGTGTGTGTGTGTGTGTGTGTGTAATTACCTAAGTGTAGTTACAGGATGAGAGCTACGCTCGTGGTGTCCCGTCTTCCCCAAGACGGGACACCACGTCTTTGTGTGTGTGTGTGTGAGTGGGCGAGTGGTTTCTAATATTAATAAGTGTTGAAAGGGAATGTTAATCGCTCGCTCATCCTTAAATCCATCATACAAGATTCAGAATTTGGTGGTAGTATAAGTACACTAGATTCTTAACTTGTTATTACTGTGAGATTCTCAACCGGTTACTCATTGCTTTTAATTTTGTGAGATAAAAGTAAATGTGCAAATTTGTAAAATTGTGGATATTGCTTTAACATAACTATCAGCAGGTTTGTCTTTGAATAAAACATTTCTTATGAGCATCTTGCGTCTAGTGTACAAACTATCATCTCATCAAAGATGGTTAAGTGAGCCAGCCAAGTATATGCTGTACCTCTCATGTACCCTACGTCCACAGTCCTCACATAAAGCACCATGTATCACCAGTCTGGTAAGTTATTGAAGTTTTTGGCTTTTGTGCATAAGCATGCCCAGCAGTATAATGCTGGGTTTAAAACCCCACACTTTTGCTTCACACAAAGAAAAGGGAGAAGTACCCCCCCTCACTTTGCTCTTGTGACATGATCACAGATTATTGGTCACCACTTTATTGAGTTTAGGATTATGAAATTTAAACTAACATAAATTAATACAGTATTTTCATCTAACATCCTGCAAATTTTTCATTATGTTTGGGAGACTAACCATTACGATTAATTTGTACATTTGCAGTCAACAATTATCGATAATGAGTATTAGGTAGTTTTTTCTGGTAGACAAAGTCCTCTGGAGTATTTTTAGCACATTCTCTGTTACATTATTTACATAATAGCCATTAATATCTATATATTGATGTGCTTCTCTGCATATTTCTCTCATGCCAGTCTTTTAATCATCATCTTTATTCAAATGGTCCTCCTGATTTGCTTATTTGCCACTTCTTGATATTTAATCTGCTATTTACTGTTTGGCTAACTACCATGAAACAAGTTCTGTAAAGGCTCATTTAACATCAGTAAAATTTCTAATTATTTCCTGTAATTTATATCATAATCTATGATCTTGTCACAGATGAACTTCCATTTAAGGTCCAAACTAAAGGCTACTTAAAATGGGGACATTAAAAGCTTCAAAACTAACCAGTACTACACTGTATTATTTTAAGTTCCAGACAAACAATATTTTGACCAACTTTGCAATGATGGCCTTTTGATACAGTATTAAAATGAATTTTTAAAAATGCAATTTTGTTATTCATTCAGAGAATTTTTGTTGAACATCATATTGCAGTTTTGGTCTCATATATTATCCTAGAATAAATTCCCTTCCTGAATTTCCTAAAGCTTCTTTAAGCTTATAAATTTATCCTAATTTAACTCTAATGACAAGATAACAAAATGACAGCAAGGTAACATTAATTTGAATGTATCCCTTGCAGTGTTCGAAGGTGTGTGATCGTGGTGTCATGTATCGTAATGTGACCTGTACTGACACTCAGATGAATGAAACTGCTGTACACAATGAGTACTGCCTTCGGGAAGGGTTGCCTAGGCACAAATCCAGTCGTCGCTGTAATAAGCATCCTTGTCCATTTCGTTGGGTTGCATCCCCATGGTCTGAGGTACACAAAGTATTTCCAACCAAAAAGTTGCATATTTGAATCTAGCTTGAGATCACCCTAACCAAGCAAGCACTTGTCTGCATAACTAAATTCTCGCCAATTGGAAGGAATGTTTTTGAACTTTGTCAGCACTTTCTTCGTTTGGTGATCTCAAGGAAAGTAGTAGTAGTAGTAACAATGTAGATTCTATGTAGTGGTGTAGCTACTTGTGTTAGATTTGTGCATTATATTTGTTAAAGGGTTTGCCATGATAACTACTTTGCTTGTTTAGAATTTCCTCTTTACAACATCTTATTTCATTACTTAAATTTGATAACGCCTCATTTATAAACACACAGCTGGTGAAATGGAACATAAAAACATTGGATAAAAAAACTATGAGGGGGGAATAAAGGGAAACAGAATAGGTAACATGTTCTTAAAACTATTCTATGCAAACATAGATGGGGCAAGATTAAAAACACTAGAGTAAAAAGGTAATAAGAAATATGATAGTTGAGAATACCTGATATTCTCGCTCTGGCAGAGACAAAACTGGTAAAAACTTTTTAATAAAATGAGTTGGCATTCCGAAAGGACTACAAAGTTCGTGGATGTGATAGAAAAAGCAGAAAAGTTAGTAGTAGCCCAAGGGACTGCTTAGTGGACAGGGAAAGCAGAAAAAATGAGAGAGAACCTAAATGTAAAGGAATCAATTCTTGATAGCTTATGAGATGTGTTACCTTGGGGGGGGGGGACTTTAAGCAAAACAATGGACTGGGAGGCCTACAATGCATGAATAGACAGTGACGAACCTCTTCCTAGAGACATTCATGTATCGGCATACTAAACAACCAACAATGATATATATTAGTATATCATGTATATATATATATTATTAGTATAACAATGGTATATATTAGATCTAGCATTGATGGAATATCTCCTTCCTTCATTCTTGTAATTACCTAAGTGTAATTACACTTAGGTAATTACACTTAGGTAATTACAAGAATGAAGGAAGGAGATATTCCATCAATGCTAGATCTAATATATACCAGGAAAGTGGAAGATATCTATGATTGGAACTGTTTGTTGTTAGGCAAGGAAGCAAATGTATACAAAGTATACCAAATTTGGTGAAATATGTGATGAAGGCACTCAAATATTTATAATAAAGCAGTTGCAAATCTAGTAAAGAGAACTGGTTTAATAGAAATATATTTATTTATTTTTAATTATTGATTTAATTTATATAATTTATTTAATTTATTTATCAATTTGTCTTTACAAGAAGGTACAATGGGTTTGTGAGAGTACATAATATCAGTATTTTTACATTCATACAAAGCCACTAACACACACAGTGTTTCAGGCTGGTCCTGAATCTAACAAATCAGGTAATATCAGATCAACAGATTTGCTACAATAGGTTCTTTGTAGCAAAATTTCATATCAACATATAACTACAATATAAATTGATAAAGGTGATTAGATTACATTGGTGAAGATGTATGTCTTAAGTACTAATATTGGGGAAATGGGTAGCACAAGATACAGTATGAGTTTTAAATTAAGCACAAGGTAGGAAACTATGAAGATGAAATTAGGTATGCTTTTGTTTTACTTTTAAATAAGGCATAGGCTGGACAATTTTTTAATTCATTAGTGAGGGAGTTCCAGGGATTGGGTCCTGGAGCATACCTGGAGAGGGTCTCGGGAGTTTTTCTAACCCTCCCCCCCCCATACCAAAGCCCAGCCTAAGGCCAGGCTTGACTTGTGATAACTTGGTCCAACAGGCTGTTGCTTGGAGTGGCCCGCAGGCCCACATATCCACTTCAGCCTGGTTGGTCCAACACTTCTTGCAAGAACTTGTCTAAGTTCCTCTTGAATACAAACCACCTTTGTTTCATCAATATTTTTAATGCTTGCTGGGTAGGTGTTGAACAGCTGTGGACCCCTGATTTTAAGACAGTGTTTTCTGATTGTGCCTATGGCACCTCTACTCCTCACTGGTTCTGTTCTGCATCTCCTTCCATCTCTTTTGCTCCTGTATGTTGTTATTCTACTGTGCAAATTTGGGACCTGGCCCTCCAGTATCTTCCATGTATATATTATTTTATACCTCTCTCGCCTCTTTTTCCAGAGAGCATGTTTTGAGAGCTTTGAGACGGTCCCAATAATTTAGATGTTTTATCATTTGAAAGGGGGAGCAGTACTCAAGACGGGACAACACCAGTATTTTAAATGGTATTAGCATTGCTGTGGGGTCTCTGGATTTGAATGTTCTCATAATACATCCTATCATTGTCCTAGCCGCCGCTATATTTGCTTGGTTATATTCACTAAATGTCAGGTCGTCAGACATCGTAATTCCCAGATCTTGTACATGTTACTTTCCTTCTATAAGTAGGTCTGATTGTGTCCTGAACAAAAACTCAGGCATGTTAGAAAATTGGAAAGTGTTTAAGATTGGAAATATGGTCATTAAGATGAGATCTTTCAAGGGAAGACAGAAAGAAGCTGAAACTGAACTTCCTTGAATCAAAATGTTTAGATGAGAGTAAGAATGAGGAAGGAACACATTATTTTTTCTTTGAGGTGATAGGGATCAGGAAGCCTGTGAAATGGTACAAACAAGCAAACCAACAAAATCATTAGAGAAAGGGGAAGTAAAGGAAAAAGTATGTTCTTTGAACATGCTTTGAAAGAATGAACAGGTAAAGAACAGGGAGCATGTTCCTGAAAATCATGCATCCTAACATGGAGAGAGATAAAAAGTACTGGACCTAAATTATATAATACAGCTTAAGCTGCCAGATATTGTTGTACTAACAGAGACAAAACTTGAAGATAATTTGTCATTCATATTGTCTATCCGTAGTCAGACAGACAGACAGACAACATAGGCTGGTCGGGATCAATAGGCTGGTCAGAGATCAAGCCTATTCATCCTATTAACCCTTAAACTGCTCATGTCATTCTCAAACATTAGACCATGATGCTCCTATTGTTTGTGAATGATTTAATGTGCCTCTTAATTTTTAAAGTTCCTAAGTAATCTATTTGGTTATCATTCAACACTAGAGACTTTTGGCAATCATTTACCGTACTGTCTTGGGAAAAAGTCGTGAAAGCCTTAACTACCTTTCTGGGCATTGTTGTAGTAAGCTTATAAACTTTTAGGTGTCTCATCATCCACTTACTGACATCTGTGCTTGGAAACATTGATGCTATGCAAATTTTCAAGAACTTTTATGGGCTAGGATGATGCTTGTGACAAGAAGACATCTGTTACAAATAATTTACTTGAAAAAAAAAAATTCATAGTACTATCAACATTTCTTCACCTCACTATGGTTAAACTTTTAACGTATCATTTATATGATGCTCTCATTAGCTTTGTGCAGATAATGAGATGGGTATCATTATATGACAAAGAGTGCTGGAACTATGGAACACCACAAACATAGTGCTCATCATGTAACTACACTTCGATAATTAAACGCAGACACCCTCCAACCCCCACCCTCCCCCAGACACACCCTATTTTGCCAAACACTGCAGTCCTTCCCTTCTCCCATCCTCCACCCCACACCACAGTACATTCTCACCTTCTCCACCCCACACCACAGCACATCCCCACTTCCTCCCATCCACCCGACAACACAGTTCTCTGCCCTCCTTCCACTCCCACTGGAGTGCTCTTTAGCTGTGGCTGGAGCTCTCTCTGCCTGACTGTGGAGCTCCATACGCCCAGCTGGCCACCTCCCGATACTTTCTGGTTGCCTTTGCCTGGCTACCCTTGCTGGACTGCCCAAGCCTGGCCACTGTCCATCTGTTTTTGTCCAGCTGCCCTTGCTGGATGCCCTTGAAGGATATCCTAGAGTTTTTCATTCCTTCTTTTTTCCATTTTGTTTTACTTAGTGAGATAGTAACATGGGGCTACCTCAGAATCCTCCCAGAAAACCATTCTGTTTTCAGGTGAGCTAGTTTTTTCTTTTGGATAGCTCTTGAGTGAGGTGGTTCATGGATCGGGCTGATCATGAACTCCAGTGCTGCCCCATGATGGTGGGCAGTTGGAACTGGAGGGTGAACTACCTAACTACTGGTCGGATCGTTTGCTGACTTACTGCTTTATCTTGCTGTTGTCTTTTTGTCTCGCCTTTCTTTTCTGTTGGCTGCTGTCATGATGAGGGTTATTACAGATCCCGTGCTCTCTCTGCCTCTGTGAAAGGGGCCACATTTTGATTTCTGGTCCATGGTAGGCTCTTATTAACTTGCAAGGTTCTAGTGTGACTGGCTAAGTGAGAAGTTAACCAAAGCAGCTAGCAACATGAAGCCACCTTGGACCCACTAAAAAGGTGCATTTCCTTACATTCAACGCTAATTTTTTTTTTTTACCAGGCTGTGTCGTTTTGAATTAATGGTTTCATATTGTTGGAGTCAAAAGTATTAGGTTTATTGAGGGTTCCCTAGGCCATGGGTTGGCAACCTTTTTTTGGGGGGGACAGAAACCAGAGAATGATGTGGCCTCCCTTGGGTGGTGTGCTATAAGTTTTAAACTTAATATGAAATGGAAAAATAAATAACAAATACTGTAAAGTAATACAGTAATTCAGTAATTGGTACAGTACCTAATTTATCACCTAGTACCCAAATATCATCTGATATACAAATGTAATCAATGACACTCATCACAATTATTTAACAAGGGCATTTGTGTCACATAGTAGGCTTCCTCCTTTCGTTTTCCACTTGCTTGGTGCTAACCTCACTGCCATACTCAGTTGCTTTGTAGTTTGTGACTGTCTTCTTAGCTTTAATAATTATTGTGCTTTATTGTACTTTTACAGTACTGTTCCTTATTGCAGTTTAATATTAATAGCTATTTTGCTACTAAGAATTTATATATTTTATTAAATTATGAATGTTTTAATTTTAGTTTGTAACATATATACTGGTACATTATATTGCCAGTGGAACGTTCCTATAATTTATTAAAAAAATTTACTGTATATATTTCTCATATCATTATTAAAGGTTAACATTTAATTACTTACAAACTAATAAACTTTTTTATTTTCAAGGATTTCATTCTTCAAATATTATTTAAGCCCATTGCTTTCACTTGGATGGGTGTTGGCCCACACTGCCACTTTATTTGACTACAAATTGTCATTGTTCTTGTCTGAATTGACACACACCTCCTTGCTGGTACTGATGGCACAGTGCTCAGAGGTGTGTGGTCCAGGAATAGAGACAAGAGAGGTCAGCTGCCATGCAGTCAACCACCTGGGATGGATTGACCCTCAACCTGTGACTCGAGGGTGTGAAGAGGGCAACAAAAAGCGAAATACTCGCAAGTGTAACCTTGGTCATTGTAACACGGGTTATTATTGGAAAGTTAAACCTTGGAAGCCAGTAAGTGATTACAGGTCCCTTGGTTTTGACATCTTCACTTCTTTTTTTCCTTTCAATGACAGATATAAGATTATAAATGTTAATATTGTAATGTAATATTTATAATTTATGCTTGGACAATGTATTAAATGTAGGCCTGAATCACAGTTTAGATAAATCACAATGCAGTACTTAATTTTATTCACTGATGCCAATTTCCAGTTTTATTCTTTATTTTGCTTGACAGCAATTTTGTTGTAGTCTAATTAGCTCTCTGTTAAAATATATTTGGTCTTATTTTCAATTCATACTTCTTTCCGTAATTTACGCAAGTGCCACCATCTCTAGTGGCCTTGATAGAGCCAGGAATTGATGTCGTGGCAAAGGCAAGACATCCAGGATTTTTTTTACACATTTGACTGTTATTGCCAAAGTATGATAAGTAGAATTAATTTGACTTTTTTGTATGATCAGTGCATAAAGTTTTATGATATGTCAAGAAAAATAATAATAATAATGATAATTTTTCAGATTTTGGTGTTTTGATATTGCAATAAATTTTGTGTTGGAGTCTTTGGCACAGTGCCACATGGCACTCTTGTGCACATGCTCAACATCAATTATTGGGTAAAACTGGGTGAAGCTAGCTGCAAGTGTCAAGACAGACAGACAGACATTTCCATTTATTGATATAGATCTATTGCTTTCTTTTACTTCTCTGTCTCCTTTACCTCTTAATTCTACCATTTGTTGCTGCTCTTTTGAACACCTATTATTTGTCTTATTACTTACAGCCTGTGAGGTTTAAATTATACTTATACAAGTAGATAAGTAACCAGATTTTTTTCTGGAGAGAGCCCTAAAGCTATCTTGCTGAGGTTGCTCTATACTAAAAGGTCACATCAGTCGCAGAAGTTCTGATTCCCTCCCTCCCTCCATGTTTGTTGATTCATTGTGGGGTTGTTATCAGCTCCAGAACTGATCAGGGAAGTCAGCAGAGGGGCGGAGTTGGGCCACCTGGTGGTGGTGGTGGTATTCAGTTTCAAGCTAGTTTGAATGAATTCCATGTTCTGTGTGAATCATTTATGGAGTTGTGGTAGTTTCAAGGCTTTGTTTTTGTGAACCCTCTAGTTATTTGTAAAGCTCTGCTGACTTTCTGAGGAGCAAACTCAGCAAGATATCTTCAGGAGCCCACCAGGACTCCTGCAGAAAGAAGTGTTTCATTACATTCAATCCTGGGTTTTTCAGTGCCAGGCAATGTGTGGCAAACGAGGTAGACAGCGTCGAGGAATTAACTGTGTTAATGAAGAGAATCAAAGAGTGCACCAACATTTATGCTCAAAAGAGCAGCGTCCTCGCAAGAAACAGAAGTGTCAAGCACAGCCTTGTGGGTACACCACTTGTTCTGAGGTTAGTTTTTATTCTGAAATATATTTATGTTAATTCTCAACTTACTGTTGTGATGGCCAAATATTATTTGGTCATCATTTCTTCAGCCATGTTATTGTGATTCATCAACTACATACTTTTGTCATTATTAATTGAACTAGGCAACATCTCAATCATTTGATAATTTTTTTTATTTTCCCAATTGTATTTTATTGCCCAATTTTATACCAGTAATGTAAATATTGTTATAATACTTGTACAGTATATGGACATAATGGAGACCCTTGACCCATGATCAAATTCTGGTATCATAGAAATTATAACTTACTGTATCCAGTCATTTGCTTACATAAATATATAAGATACTTTTATTCTTATGATGACATCTTCAGTCGGACATTATCTCAGAGCATATATGATTATACAAATGCTATAGAAAGGTAATTATCTAAAGTAATCTATGAGATAGTTTTGTTCTGGCTGGTACAAGCTTCTTCAACGCAGCTGTCGCCAACCTTTCGGAGCTCACGGATCACCATATTCATAATTTTATATTCTGCGGACCATTAATGTGAATCCCGCGGTCCACCAAACAAGAAATGATAGTTCTTAAAGTCAAACTATTTGATGCCATTAAATATAACAGTTAAAGAAAATACACAGTTACATACAATACACAAATAAAATTGTCTCGCGAACCACTGGTTGGTGACCGCTGCTTTAGAACATGTACAGGACTAGTATTAATATTTTTCTAGTGTTTTGACTACAACGCTAGTGAAACAAACTAAACTAAGCGAACAGTTTCAAGGTGTGTTTGTGCAAATTAAAATTTTCAGAGAACCAGTCACAATAAGAATTCCAGATAACAACATTGAGCACATTGGTGTTTTTCTGTGGGGAGCCCCGTTGGCTCCCTGAAGGTAATTTGTAATCAAAAGTAGTACTGGACTTGGATAAGACTGCATTTATGTATTGGGACAATAATGAAAACTATTGGACTCCTTTAATGAAACATTTTTATGGGACAAATTTTAATCCTACAAAATATTTTATCTGGAACTATTCATAAAAGTATTTAACAATATAGCATATTAATTTTCTTTATGCTAAATTATATTAATTTTATGTATGCTAATATGCTAAATTATAGCGTAATAATTTAAGCATATTAATTTTCAAATTATTATCATGTACTGTATTTCATTATGATTTAACCCAGGCTAACTTTGTACCATAACAGGTACAAAGTGGCATGCATGTGCCCGTAGATGGAGAGTATTCCCTGCTGGTTGGTGGACACAACATGAGCATCTTCTGCTTGGGAATGAACACTTCCAGCCCCACAGAATATCTCACACTACCTGCAGGGGAGGAGGGGAACTTTGCCGAGATATACAATAAAATGTAAGTCTGATTTATATTCTGTAGAAGGCAAAATAGTTTGTTTTATATTTGGAGGCATAATTATGGGAATTTTTAATTCATATATTTAGCAATTTAACGTAATAATGTACCGTATATATCTGTGATATATACTATATTTAGTAATTTAATGTAATAATGTACTGTATATATCTGTGATATGTACCATATATGGTATATATCTGAAGCCCAATCAAGATTTCACATATCCCCCCCCCTCCCGTGCACTCTGGCTGTGGTCCAGGAGTTCTGCCTCCAACACTTCTTTTCAAATGCACAATGAAATCACATTAACGTGATGTTTCAATTAGAAAATCAGTAGGAGCCTTCAGTGGAAGCCTCAGGACCCCTAAAGGCTTCAGCTGAATCCCAGGTTGCATTGCTTTTGAGCATGTCATGGTGTAGCGATCTAAGGTGTGTGATCTGGAGTACCAAGTGTGGGGGGTTCGAATCCTCCTCTTCATGGCTCCTACTGATTTTTTCAATAGTAATAATAATATTTTATTCATAAAATATACCTACATGAGAACATATTACAGAGGTGTGTTTGAAGATACAGGGGTTGCATATTAAATAACGCCACTAATACGCAAAACAATTCAGGCAAAACTTAAAATAATTTAGTCATTTTTATTTGTATTGGTATAATTGAGAAAACACTTAATACTAAATGAGAAATTAGGTAACACATGTGAAGTGTTGAAGAAATGTTGCAAATGATATATGATATAAAGGTGAAAATGATGATAAGTATAGACTGCTACATTATAAAATCTGTAATTTTAACACCAGTACAGATATAGTATTTAATATTAGTAATTACAGCAAAAACGTTGAAATAAACAAAGGTGTATATTTGGTAAAGCCACTAGAATACTAAGTGTTTTAGACAGAACACAAAATAAATCAGTAAAATGGAAAGGTTTAATGGAGTAATCACTTAAATAAACAAGAAGTAAATTAACATATAGGACTTGTATAAGCAATTTAGCAAATGATATACATTAATTAGGTTACACTTAATGATGAAAAGCATAGAACCGTATTTTTCACATATAATTTTTGTAATAAAAACAAAACACACAAATATCTTTTTGGATGAGGAAATGTGAGTGAAATTTGCTTCATGATATTTTTTAGTTTCTCTTTTCAACTGGTTGAGAGATGTACAGCTTTTTATCACATTTGGGAGGTTATTCCACAATTTGAGACCTTTGATTTGCATGGCCTTTCTGCTGTGGTTTGGTCTCATTCTAGGAATCACAAAAAGTTATTTGTTTCTTGTGTAGTGCCATGGGCTCTGTTACAACCCTATGGGAAATGTTTAAGGTCAGGAGTAGCATTGCAGAGTTTTATACATATAGAGTACACTTAAGAGGATATATTTATTTATTTATTTATTTAATTTTTATTTACATGCAAGAAGGTACTTTGATTTATGAAAATACTGTACATATTTTGGAGGGAATGTCTACTGTTTTAGAAACCTTTTTGTTTATATTTTGTATATGGCAGTGGAAAATCAGCTTGTTGTCCGTGTGAACACTAAGAAATTTACCATCTACTTTGCTCTTAATTTGGATTTTGTTGATTTTATTTTGCTTTTATTACTGTTTTTAAAATACCATCATAAGGTAAACTCATTAGCTTCGAATGAGGTGGTAGTGAGGAAGAAGTGGCAGGAGGAGGGGGTAGGAAGGCAGCTTTGGATGTGGGATGCGCAGTTGAGCTGTGAGTGGCTGCCTCACATAATGCTTCTCTCGCTTAACACCTTCTTTCTTGAACACGTATGGCATCTTCCTCCTCTTCTTCCTTCTTAAGACATGTAGGGCATTTTGTATAAGGACGATGCAACTGTGACGAAACTGGGATACGCCACGACACACTAGTGTGTCGCACCCCCCCCCCCCTCTCTCTCTCTGACAGTCGTGAAGTCACTGACTCAAGAGCACTTTGTCTCCTGCATGGGGATGCGCAGATGCAAAGTTTAAAAAATATTATTTATATATATTTCTCCAATTTCCCTGCAATAAATCCTAATTTTCGTACACTTATGCGTGACTGCTCAGCAAAGCCAGCGAAGATAGTATGTTGGGGGGGGGATTATTCATAAAATATTTATTTATTAAGTTTTGCAGTTTTGCAATTTGTTTTTAAGTATAATTAAATATTTACAGTATTAACATACTGTATGTGGACAAACTTTTCATAACTCTGATACAACAACCCACACAATTTCTCTGAAATGTTTCGAAAATATTTGATTTTTAGTCAATGACAATGTGATGTCTCACTACAGACAAGTGTTAAAATGTAGAAAAAAACAAGTGTCTTTAGACAGATTCTTAATAAGACAAGCAAGCAGTGAGCCACAACCAGGTCCTAGTGGTATGCCTGCAAAATGTAGGAGAGAGAGAGTACACCAGAGAAGTCATCACTGCTTGATGTTATAATGGAAGGGGACTCCCCTTCCAAACAGTAACACCTCTCCCTCTTCCTTCCCTCCTCACCGTCTTCCATATGCCAACAAGAGTCATCAGTAAAGGTAAGCTATAATTTGTGCATACTATAGTACAAAATGTGTGTGTATATTATGTATGAAATGTATTTTGAAGTTAATATGTTTGGGAGTGTGGAACGGATTAATTCAATTTACATTTATTTCTAATGGGAAAATTTGTTTCACGTTATAAATTTTTGAGTTACGACCCATCTTTGAGAATGGATTAAATTCATAAATGGAGGTACCACTGTATAAAGAAACAAAGCTGTCGAAAAACCTGAGAAAGTTCACTTTTGTAAAGTGGTAGACAGTTGGAACAAATTAAGTAAGGTGATGGTGGAGGCAAAAACCATCAGTAGTTTCAAACCATTGCTTTGTATGACAAAGAGTACAGAGAGGATGAGATACCATGAGCTCTCATCCTGTAACTACACTTAGGTAATTACTTAGGTAGTTACAATTGTTATAGTACATTATATGCAACATTAAAATGACTAGTGACATTCCAAAATATCATTTAAACACAGAAAAGTAAATAAATATTGCGAGAAATATTAAAATAAAGTAGTACCTCATCCCCTCACTTGTTGCCACCCACTATTAAAACTAAGTAAGTTCATGGTTTTGCCACACCTAAACCTCAAGACAAGAAAATATATTTTATAATATTTGTGCTTCCTGAATGCTAAATTAATTTGATGTTACAGTATATGTGCTTCCTGAGTGCTAATTAACATAATGATAAGAACAAAATTAATGTTCTGGAATAATTGTTTTTTGTGCACTGAGGGACAATGCACTGAATATTCCCAAATGGTTAAGGGTTAAAGGAGTTACCCATTTTATTATGCCTAGAATTTCTTGTGGGTTTTGTCTTAGTTTTTAGTAGATCTCTGATAACCAAGCTTACCTCGCCTTATTGAGCGAGCCAGATTCTGTTCCTTGCTTCCAGAAGACAAGGGTAGGTCTCGAAGGCCTGGTGCCTTCGAGACCTACCCTCGAAGGAGGGGTAGGTCAAGGCTGTGCAGTACTAGCACTCAAGCTCCTGGAACTATGGAGAGCCACCGCAAAAAGGCTCTTCATTACATTCAATGCTTGACTTTTACTCTCGGATTTGTGTGTTTTTATTAAAAAAATTATTTATTTTCAAATTCACTAGTATATAACAGATATCTGATGTGTTTAAAGTGAGTTTATTCATGGTCATCCTCATGTTATTGTGTTTACTATATTATTTATGGTAGATCATTTAGCATTACAAACAATGAAGGTAGTCACATTGGCAAATGTTGTTTCTTCATTTTCTGGTGTGTGGTTTGGTCATCGTATAGATTTTAAGAGTTAGAAGGAATTTGGCACGTCATTACTGTAAGTAATTGGAGAGGTACAGATATACTACCCTTTGAGACACTTATGTTTATTAGGAAGATGAGAAAAGTGATGTTATATGTAGTCACATTCTGGTATCTATTTCTGGGCTATGACTGTGAATTAATGAATAGCCTGATTTTTTGTGGTGTAGTTAAATATTGTGTAGACGTAGAAGCACACAATACTTCTATACTGGTGTCACAAGTAGACGATTGTGACTCCTGAACAAAAAATACTGAATCAGTATTTAATTTTGTGGTGCCAAAGACATCAAGTTGAGAAGTTAATTATGCCACATTAGTGCTCTATTTGGTTCTAAAACTGTTCTGTCTAGAACAGTATATGCAAAAAGTCTTGTTGCTTGTATATAATTTTCTCAAAATATTTTTGAACAAATTGGTAAAGAGATAGTGGTTTTTAGTTTTGTTTTATCACTGGAAGGGACAGGAAACTATCAGGAGAAAGCGCCAAGCCATTATAACAATACTGTATAGCACTTGGAAGGGATCACGATAAGGATTTGAGAGGGGATGGGGAAAAAGATGGTACACAACTAGATGGGCGGGGATTGAACGTCGGCCTGCATGAAGCTAGATCGTCACTCTACTGTCCAGCCTAAGTGGTTTTGTGTCTGTAAAATCACTTCCTTTGTGTACAGAAAAGTCAGTGTTACATATATGGGTAGCATGTGTAAAAAAATCTCAGCTGTGTGACTCTCATACACCAACTCTCATACAGTACGGGCAAACCTGATCTTGTGCAGTTCAAATTTTGGTGTCAAAAGCAAATTTTTGCAAATCAAAATTTGTGTTTTCTGAATGTGTGCCGAATTATTTACTGAAGTTGTCTGGAAATTTTTAGACTACATAGATGTTTTGAGGACATTAATTTTAGCACAAAGTTGCATTACACTTGCTACACATGTTCAGTCATGCTACATAATCTTCCCAGCTGGGCACCTTCTTATGATAATTACTGACATGTCCAGTTAAAGAGTTGGTGGTAGTTATGGGAATGTTTTTATGAATCGTTCATAGCTTTTCATTTATATTTAATGACTTTTTCAAGCAAAATATTATCAAAATTGGCACATAACTGCATTAGGATT